TCTCCTCACAGAGGGAAGGATTTTGGTAATAGTTAACCTTGATGTTTCTCCACCCTGACTTGGAGATTAGTTTATCCTGCTTTAACCATGACCTCTTAAAAGGCATTTGTTGTTTCACAAATAGTGTGGATTTCTGCAGACCAGGGCAACTCTTCAGGGGACAGGCTTCCAATGTTGCCACTGTTGTAGTGTTAAATCCTCTGTGTCCAAATGCCAGCAGCCTACTGTTTGGTGACTAAGAAATGTGTACCATTAGATACACCCTGTAAAATGGTGGCTTGGCACTCTTTAACTGTCTTCTTCCATTGTGCTTTTTTGTAAGCAAGTCACAGGTCCCCACATTGACTGTTTCTCCATTTAACTTGTCCTGGAATGACAAAAGTCACTGGTGAGCCTGAGTTGTGCTGCTTGTGACTCCTAATCACATTCAGCCTTCATGCTATGATGGTGCTTTTTTTTTTCCCCTTCAAAGTAGCTTGCTTTTAAGTGTCTTAATGAAACCATTTGCTGTAAAATTTCTTCTGAAGATAAAATGGATACTGCCTCACAGCCTAACGTCTTAATAATGTGCTTGAGTTATTTTTTTTCTTCTATATGAATGTATATTGCCTCATTAGGGCAGGGAGTGTGCGTGATTATGGATGTGTTTCCCTGTATTGCTTGCAGTGAAGAGCTTTACAGTTTCCCATGATTTTCCTCCACTGCTAGAATGTTTGTACAGCAGAAATCTGTGGATAGGTGAGGTACCTTCTGAAATGTGGGAACTCAGCCTCCCAAGATCTTGTTTTTATGGAGCTCTAACAATAATGTGAAGAATGACGGGCTCTGGAGGAAATGTCTACCTTGGAGAGTGGGGTATTTCATTTTGATTTGGGTTGGGTTTTTTTCACCCTAAGTTTCAGCAAGAAACTTTGTGAAACATTTGTGAGCATTGTTGAAAGGACTGGTGTGCGTATGTTTGTGTCCATTTTGTGTCGTGTTCAGTGTTTCCAAATGCAATTATGAATCAAAATAAATTACTGGAAATGATCTGTGTAGTGGCCTGTTGATTTATGCCAACACGCTCAGCCAGGTCAATGACCAAAAGCTGCCATCATCTCATGGCTATTTAGCTGTGAGCTGGACTTGGGAATAAGGGAGCCACAGGCAAAGGAGAAGCTAGGAAATAAGGTTTATTCCAGTTCTGCAAAAGTTGACCTTTGGGTTTGTTTGTGTTGGGATGAAACAGATGCCTGCAGGCAGTTCTCACCACCCTGGAAACTGTATCTGATCAGGTTCCTAGTCTTAGTCCAGTGTTCTGCTTTCCCTCCTACACCTGCCCACACAATACATCCAGAACCCTAAAAAAAGAAGAATCTCTTACTTTAAACCCTCTTCTAAGCCATGCTTGGAAATGACGTGCATATTGTGTGTGCAGATGGTGGGAAGAGATGTAGCCTTTGATTCCATTTGTATCTTGGGACATCTGCTGAAAGGCAAAATGACTTTTCATGAGTAGAATCACAGGTGCCTTCAATTGTTCCCAGAGCTCTGCTTTGATTTGCCTGGGTGGCACTTCTGTCAGCTGTTCAGCTGTTTCTCTTTGAAGATTACTTTGCACTCGCTGACAAGGACCTGCTAGCAGTGAGCCAGGGTTGTAGCTGGGTGAGAGTGGTGTGTACACAAGGGTGTCAGACTTCTGACACCGCAGTAGCCACCAGCTTTGTTAACTCCAGTGCTGATAATAAAAACATATGAGACTACTGTTTCCCTCAGTTTTTATATTTCTTACTCCCCTGTGGCTTGCCATGTTGCCCTGCACAGCAGGAGCATGCCTGGAGTGGTAGTTCAGGTGCTGGGGAAAGCCAAGGTGCACGATATGTGTCTATAATACACAAGAGGTCTTCAAAGATGTGAGCTGTGGATCACTCTGTAGTGGCTCATGGGCCCTTCCCAAGCTAGCTACTGTTTGCCTGGGGGGAGTAGGCGAAAAGACTGCTGGGAGACCTTTTTGCTGCCTTTCAGTTCTTAAAAGTGGCCTATAAGAAAGATGGGGAGAGACTTTTTAGCAGGTCCTGTGCAATAGGGTGGGGGTTGATGGTTTTAAACTAAAAGGGGAGGTTGAGGTTGGATCTGAGGAAAAAATTCTTTACAATGAAGGTAGTGAAATACTGGCACAGGCTGCCCAGAGAGGTGGTGGGTGCACCACCCCTGGAGACATTCAAGCCCAGCCTGTATATGGCTCTGGGCAACCTGATCTAGTTGGAGATGTCCCTGCTCATTGCATGGGGATTGAACTAGGAGACCTTTGGAGGTCCCTTCCAACCCAAACTATTCAATGATTCTATGAAATTGTTTAATATTTCAGGCACTGTTTCGACTCCAGTTCAAGCTGGGCCTGGGAGACTTTGAAGAGACTGCTGTACAGATGATACCTGTGTGGTCAAGGTTTGGGGGAAAGCAGGTAAGAACTCTTAAGGGCAGCTGTCAGCAGGGAATGGGGTTGGGATAGGGGAATGTGCAATCACTTCAGGGTTCTGCATTTGCTGTTGTACCAAAGTGAAAATCCTCCCCGCTTCCCTGCACAGAAGGCAAGTCTGGCTGTGCAGCCACCTCCCTCTCTTGCCAAGAAAAGCAAGGAGCTGACAGGCAGGAGTGTGCCTGAGCTGTGAGTGTGGGCTGATGACCAGCATTAAGGCATTGACATCTGCATCTTAACCAAGCACTGGAGCAGGAGGCTGTGCTCTGGCACAGCTGCAGGCTGAAGCTGTTTCCTTAATCTTGAAAAGCTCTCTTACACGTGTCACCCTCCTGCTGCGAAATGCTTGCAAGAGCTTTAATCTTCAAACACTAACATCATACCATCATGCCTGGGATTTTAGGGGTGTCTCATGCAGTCTCCCAACAGCATCAATGGGCACAGCCTTATTTCTCTCAAGGAGGTATGAGTTTTTTCAACCAGGTGTGGGTTGAATGGGGAAATTGAGGGGCTTCTCATCCCTGCTTTGATTCCCATTGATTCAGACCACATTGAGTATGAATGTGCCTGATCTTTGAACATCATCCCTATCCTAACTGAGGCTTCAGCTCCACACTAGTGTTGAATTGGCAGTAGGCAAGGGCAAAGGAGTCTCAAACACAGCTCCTCAGGGATCTTCTTTTGGTTTCTTGCTGCTGGAACTGCCCATCCCAACAGCATCTTGCTAGGAGGATCTTGCTCAAAGCTACTAAGAGTAGAGGAAACCCCTAGAAGATGAGAAAAAGGTCAGTTTCAACAGTAGGTGTTGACTGCACTTCAAGTTCTTTGGAGTATTATTTTAATGGAAGGTGAGTGGGTGCTAAGGTGAGTGGGAGCTCTGAGCCTCGAGGATAAAATGTGCAAGTGTGGCATTGCTGGGGAAAGAATCTGCAGTTCAGTAAACTGGAAGCACCCCTGCATAGCCAGTGGTTTGGGGCACCCTTTTAGCTGTGAAAGATGTTGATTCAATGCCTGCTTAGCCTCTTGCTAGGGTCAAACCAGGCTGTGCTTGTCTGCTCTACTGCTCCATCCTGCTGCTACTCCCCATACAGCTTCTGTGTGTCCTGTCTCCAGCTGGCCGTAATGCTGCCTTCTCTCTAGCTGAACAAGGATGTGTTCTCCCCTTTCATCCTCTAGCTTGCTATCCTCCTTACGCCATGAGTCCAGGTAAAGGGTGGACTGGAAACATTGCCTGCTCTCTTCATTGCCTTGGTGAGGAGGAAGTCAGCTTAGGAAAAGGCCACCAGTAACATGAAAGCTGTCCTGGAGGTGTTCCAGGAGCTCATTAGGAACTACATGGAGAGGCTTCCAAGGGGAGAGTGTGTACAGAGAGGAAGAGGATTGCTGCTGCTGTGCTGCCTCGGCTTGCCATGATTAGCACCGAGTGGCTGCTGACTGCACTGGGGCATTAGTTCGGTAGCTCAGTCCCCAACCCCGCTTCTCCCTGCCTTTTTGGCCCAGTGAGAGACACTACCCTTCTCCAGTCGCTGTTCTTCCCTACAAGGCAACTTATTCAGCCCTCTCTCAGCTTGCTGCTTCCTCTCACAATCTGCCTTTTAATGCAGCCAGATGGTCTGTACTCGCCCACACTTCACGCAGGCACCTTCAGCTCCCTGTGTTTGGCTAGTGTGCTCATCTGACCTTCTGGTGGTCTGGTCTGTGTCTGCCTTTGGGAGATGGTGAGTGCTCATGTGTTGTAGAGAATGGCTGTGGGAGTGACAGTTGTCTTCAGACAACTTCAGATGGAGAATCTGCTTGACAGACTGGGTTGTGTGTGCAGGAGGCTCTCTGACCACATTCCTATGAGCTATGTGCATGGATGCTAATGCTCTGAAGCCTGCTGCTGGGCACCTGTCCTGTACTGCTTCATCTGTGTGCTGGCCCAGGTCCGTGACCATGGGCTGACGTCTAGTGCTGTGTAGTTGGCTTCTGCCACAGTTTGCACTGGCAACTCACTTGTGCTCGTTTCACGTTTGGGTTTATTGGAAGCTTTCAGTGCATGTACAGGTTTTAAAAGCCACTGACACAATGGGTAACAGTAAACTGTCTTCTTCCTGGCATCACGCGAGTGCTCCCTGTACTGCCATATGCTTTTGGAGGGAACTTTGTGTGAGGGGGAAATGATTCCAGACTCCTGCCTTATGCTGTTGCCAAGACAGGACATATTGCACCTTCACAGCATTACCCTCTGTGCACTATGCTGCAGGTTAACCTTAAACACTGGTAAGAAACTTTTGTTTTAATCACGTCAGCGTTATGTAAAAAGAGTCTGCCTTTTTCTTGGATCTTTAATGGCTGGATCAAGTGAAAAGCCCCTGACAGACTTGCACAATATCTCCTGAAACACTGCAGTTAAACAGCCTGGAAACTGTGCAAATGCAAGACCGAGGCGCACGCCGCCGCGCTGTGCGGTGCGGTGCTGTGCTGCGCGGTGCCGTGCCTCCCCTCGCTCGAACCGCGCCGCCGCCAGCGCGATGGCCCTGTCGTGTTGCTAGGACACCGAGGCCGCTCCCTAGCAACGCGCCCCATCGCGGAGCGCTTTACGGCAGCTGCGGACTCTTCCACCGGGCCCTTCCACCGGGCTCTTCCCCCGTCCCCTCCCGCGGCGGGGAGGGCGGCGCCGCCATGTCGTCGCCGGGGCGGTGCGAGGAGGTGGACCAGACGCTGTTCGTGGGGAACCTGGAGAGCCGCGTGCGGGAGGAGATCCTCTACGAGCTCTTCCTGCAGGTGGAGGGCGGGCCCCCGGGGCGGGGCGGGGCCGGGCCGGGCCGGGCAGCGCCGCAGCCGGGCGCGGCGGACGGGGTGTCGCCGGGGCCGTGCGCGGGTGAGATCGGTCCGCGGGCCGCAGCTCCGCGGTGGGGAGCGGCATCGTTCGCCGTTGGAACGCAGCGTGGAGTTCGGCTGGTAAAGAGCGAACCCGCCGGCCGGGTCTCTAGGCCGGTCCTGCCGTCCCCAGGCCACCGCGCACGTCTGGTTTTAGCCTGCTCGCGAAGTGCAAGGTTTGGTGCCGCAGTTGGTGAGGAAGTTAAATAACGTAAAGATGTTCTTAAAATCCCCAGGAAAAAAAAAACAAACAACAAAACAAACCAAGTGGTTTTTACACTTTCTTTAAAATATTCTGAGCAAGAAGGTTTTGGTCAAGAATTTAATTAGGAAAAAGCAGTGTAAAACCTGAAAATGTGCTGAGCAAGGCTAATAGAATTAACACGGCACTGTTAGGAATGATGTGCAGGTGAGGCTCTGGACTTCCACCCACAAATGACCTTTATATCAGAATGGTTTATGTTTTGATGCATGAGAAGATAATAAAAAATCCATTGGTGGGTTTTTCATGGAGCTGGGGAGAAATACTATGTAGCTGGCCCTGTTTCAAACCTGAGCTTAATTCTCTGTGGAAATAAAGTACGCCAAGGAAGACAGAAAATGTTAAGACACTGAGTTGGCCTCAGTTTTGATCTCACATTGACAGCATCTCTGGCTAAACCAGGTTTATTAACCTGATAGTAGTAAGGAAAATGGGGAGGATATTCAGAGAAGAGAACATTACATTGCTAGTGCAAGCATCAAATGACAAGACGTATGATGACAGTAGTTGCTGATCATGGGTTTTTCCTGAAGTTGTTTATGATGTGTTTGGTTTATTTTATTTTTTTTTTTTTCTCCTGCCATGATCTAGCAATCCTCTGTCAAGTTAAAAGGTCCCAGACTGACTGGGCATTTTATCTGACAGCACAGTGATAAACTTGCTTCTACCAATGCACTGATTGCCTCTGTCTCAGAATGAATCTTGCTTCCTTCTGGTGAGTTCAGAAAATAAAGAGGGCAAAAACAAAGAGGTGGGCAGAATCATCTGTTCTCTTGCTGTTTCATTTGCTAATCAGGACTAGTTCTACTCACCAGTTTTATTCCACTGATTAATCTGCTATTTGTCTCGTTAACCAGTATTTTCATTGAAAGGCCTTTTTGTTTGGTATGTTCCAGCCCTTTGGGTTGCTACCTGTGTTCCCTTATATTCCTAGCTTTCAGTTTTTGACTTTTCCCTGAAATTAGCAAAGAAATATTTGTTTCTTCTCTTCCTGCCCCCCCTTATTTTCTCTGCAGTATTCCTACCTGTTTCCAACACTAAACAGCAGTGTGCTGTTTAACTGCAAATCTTGGGTAAAGAAAGCTTATCTTAGCAGAGGACATGACTAATTCCATACAATTTCTGGTACAAAAGTGATAAAAGTAAGTGGATGCTCCCAAATGCGGTTTTTCATGACTTTTCTGCATAATCTGCAGCACTCACCCAACTGCTGACTTTTATCTGAGTCTTTAGGTCATCCTGATAACACCTATTTTGATTTTTTTTTGTTCTGTTCACCTTATTCTCCATCGGGTTTCTCTGTCTTTTGCTGCAACAGCATGTGCTGCTCACTGCAGTACTGCCCTTTCTTGGGAAGTACGGAGTTCAATATTCCTCCTATGCCGTGGTCCTAAAGATTCACTCCAGACCTGTAGTTTTTCCCCTCATCAAATTATGAGCAACTATCTAGTACTTCTAAACAATATTTTTCTTTATGAACAGGAAGACTACGTATTTAAAAGAACAATCAGCAAAGGATTCGAGTTTGTCATTTCTAGTTCTTGAAGAACCAGATCATCCTCATTAGGCAAATATTAACCAGAAGACTGGATATATGTAATTTAAAAAAATGCAGTGTAGTGCAAAACAGCAACAAAAACACCTGAAGGAGCCAATTCAAGCAAAAATAAATGTTCAGAATCTGACTGAAATCCCTTCTTTAAAATAAACAAGCCCCCAACCCAACCAACCAAAATAATAAACCAGAAACAAACACCCAAACAAAGAAAAAAAAAAAACAAAACAACCAAAAGACCCCAGCAAAATTCCAGATATTTGGAAATATGAGATCAACATTTTAAAGATTCCCTGCACAGGACAACCTATGTAGTATCCATTGCTGTATACCTGATCGCCCTCTGCACCACTAATAAAAACAGTACGTTATCTTTGATCCTTTGTGTTTGTCTACATGAATTCCCTATTTTCACTAGCGTTGGGGAGGTGGGGGTGTTTCATTTTTTAGTAAAAGCATCTTATTTAATTGAGGATTTAGTTCATGCACAGCTGGCAAAAGCATGAAGCAATCAAACATTATTATCACAGACAACAATCCTGAGTATCTTCAGTCTGACAACATGGAGGCTATAATAAGGGAGATGGCTGCACATCATCACTTTGAATGCTCAAAGCAAACTGCAGATTTGTTGTTTGAGAGGAATCCTAGGAGATGCAGAACAATAAAGTACACGGCTTTCTGTGGCTTATTTTCTTTATCTGAGCATATGCCCTCTATTTATTTTGAATGTTTAACTGTTTATGCAGTTTAATTGCTGTAAAGCTGTTAGGAGTTAACTTGTGTTTGCCTGAAGCTACAGATGACTTCTGAGTAACTTTTACTGCAAAGCACCTATTGTATCAGTAGCAGTAGTGGAAGGCAGTTCTCCTGATAACTGCTGGGTTTTTATTCAGAACAATGAATTCTCCATCTACTACAGTAATTTAGACATTCAGTGTTTTTTTTGCTGCTGGATTTTTTTGTAACTTACGTGGCCTTCATTTCTCATACTGTATCCTCCTAAAGTTAATCTGTGGCATTCTTAACACTCCAGAGCTGTGGCAGGAGACTGCTGTTGGCTGCTTCTTTTTTCTCTTTTTGCTCTGCTAAATCAGCCATACAGACATGTAGTTTGTTTTGATGAGAAGCTGTTCATTCCATGACTAACGCACTGACTCCATCTCGTGGAGGGAAAATTCATCTTTGATATCCATTAAGAAAATGAGTTTCTTTGAAATGGAGACCGTATTCAGGGTATCACTGCTTTAATTTCGTCCTAGAAGTACTATGCAAGGATTAAAATGTTACGTGTAGGCATAGTTGGGACTTTTCACTGAAGGTACTTCAGCCAAAGAGTGTGGTTTGGGGATTTTGTTTTGTGGATGGGATTTTGCAGGCACAAACCCAGTATGTCAGCTGTAGTGAGATGATGGGGTCTCCTGATTCCTTGCTATGTAGTTGTAAGGAGGGTTAGGCAGTACAGAAAACTTTTTTGTAGTGGTTCCAGAAGCTCTACTCTCTATTCAGCTTTGTATTCCCACAGTGCTGATGCTGACCATTTTAGGAATTTAAGCAAGAGTAAAGCATATTTATGGATCAGGTCACTTTTACATAGCTGATATTATCAATTTGCTTAGTTACGTTAGCGGTGCAAAGCAGCCCTCTGTAATAATTGTACTAGCAGCTGCACATGCATTAAGATGACTTCTGCTATGGAATAAGTAAATTAGTCTTCCCTATTGCAGCAGCTGTCAGTGTATTTTAAAAATAAGCAAAAAAATCTGATTATTAAAGACTCAGCATCATCCATGGGCTGATGCTTCATTCCCTTTTAACATTTGCGGAGCTGATTTTTGTTTGTAGAAGGCTCAGAATTTGAGTTTGGGGAAGGTGGAGAGACATCTTTTAAAAAGATTCTTCTATGGAGAAATTTACACTCTGACTATGGCAAAATACACATCATTATGAAACCATCAGAACAGAATGAAGTGTCAATCTCTGTTAATTTCTATGAGAAAATAATACAGATTTCTTTCAGGCTGGACCACTAATCAAAGTGACGATTTGTAAGGATAAAGAAGGAAAACCTAAGTCTTTTGGATTTGTCTGTTTTAAGCACAAAGAATCAGTGCCTTATGCAGTAGCTTTGCTGAATGGAATCCGTTTGTATGGAAGACCAATTAGAGTGCAGTTTCGGTTTGGTACGTTTAGTAATCTCAATGATTAAGTCTTTGTGAATGTTTTAGTTTTAATGACTATTTTTGAATCCTAGAGGCTTTTACAAAGATGTTGATTTATAGCTGGAACAAATTACAGTCCATTTTTTCAAGAAACAAAAACTTTTTGTGGCTTTTGTATAGGGGAGGATTCAGTGTTTGTATTTTTTGTTTATTAAGAGAATACAGTTGTTGGGCTCAGAACAGCCTTAACTTGCAAGACAGCTCAGACCACACTGTATGAAAAACATAGCAAGACAGGTTTTCACACCAGATTACATTTAGGAATCAGGGTGTGTCTTTAATTTTCAGTCTGGCACAAAGCATTGATTCAGTGGGTGCAGCAACTATCAAGCTGTTTGACAGCTTTTATACTAAAGCCACAGGCTTATCAGAGCTGCTGTTTTAAATTGATGGGATTATAGTTCAAAGCATGTAGTCAAATCAGAGTCACATCCTTCATTTTATGTTTATGAAAATAAACTTTCTAGGAAGCTAATGATCAGGCACTGTTTGCAAACTAAACACTAAGGACTCATGTTCCCACTGGGCACTGTGCCACTCCTTGCTTTTCAGGCTGTAGAGAGCAATTGCTGACTTTAAATACAATTGCTGAAGTTCCTAAAGTCAGAAGCATGTCCTGTGTCTGTAACTGAATGGGAATTACTGTGATCTTGGTTACTTCAACACCCTGATTTATGCTTCTGTTACTGAGTAAATGATAAATGAATGTTTTCAAGCAGTAAAATGATGCTATAAAGCATTCACCAAAAAATGGCAAATACTTTATATACTACGTTACATATACTTATATATAAAAGGAAAACCTTTATATACTACCTTATATATACTAGCACAGTACAGATGCCACAGAACACTTCCTGTGGTTTTAGCTTGTTAACTGAATAGCTGTAACTGAATAGTCATTATGCTCTTGTCTTATCTACAGGGAGTTCTCACTCAGCAGAACAGAACAACCCTAAACGTGGTTTTGAGAACTATACTGACTTACATTCACCTTCATATAGGTAACAAAGATCACCTGTGAATAAACTCAATGATTTTAAAGACGTTTCCTAAAGAAAATCAGTTATGTGGTAGAGCAGTCTTCAAGCTCTTCATTAAAACAGCTGTTGATGCTTTAATTGCATCCTTGCTGACTTGCAGAATGGGCTGTAGTTAACATTAGGTTGTTCAGCTTGCCAGAGGTTCAGTTAGCTTGAACTTTCTACTCTTTGTTTCTGCTAGATACAGGGCCATAAGAAAATACTGAAATATGCTGTTTGTACTTACAATATTTGCAGTTGGTGGGGGAAAAAAATCTGACAATTGACAGTATTTTCAAACCCCACTGAGTTTATATCTGTATTTTTTGTGTGTATACCTATAAGCAGCTGTCATGCACATATAAATGCACAGGTATACACCTGTTACAATGGAAGTCTGAACACCCCAGATTCAGTATTTTTCAATGTCTCAACATTTTCAAGTGTGACAGAACTCTCTGTGGAAGTTAACTTCCATGATGAAATCTAGAACCCTTCTGTATCTGCACTAAAGTACATGTGAGGATTACTCATTACTTGAGCTTTTGAGTATATTTTCTTTGTTTTATCATGTTTTTTTCATGCAAGTCCAGTTGCTAATATCTCAGTTCTCCTCTTGGATATTCTCATTAGGGCCCAAGAGTTAAGTCTCAGCACTGTGGTAAGCAGTATGTGGTGGACATCTAGTCTTTGTACGTTTGATTGTTTTTCCTAGATATCAAGAGCTGTATGGAAGCCCTCCAATTCCTGTTACTCCTTTTCCAGTGAACAATAGTCCACCTTGTGAATACTCGGGCTTTCCAAAGATGGTGAGTTTGTGTTAAAAGTTAAAAATTTGGGAGATTTTTTTTATTATATTGACTGTATTCTGCATTTCTGCAAACAATGGTACTTATTTAATGGCTCAAAATGGGATCTAGGCTGCTAACGTTGACTGTATTAGGTCTATTTATTTTAGCACTTAAGCGTACTATCATAATAGGGGATCTACCAAAGCATTTTCTTACAGCAGGAATGTTTTAAAAGTTAAGGAGGCTAAAAATGTCCAAGTCTACAGAGAGAGCTCTCTCCTGTACTGTGGTCTAAATCAAATCTCCTTGCTGAGTCAAGCTAATCCAGTAAAATTACAACCGTGCGAGCAATAGCTTCTTCATATACAGCTATTTCAGTCATGGAACCTCTTAGCTCTTCTACTCAATTCAGAAATACCCAGCAGAAGTTTGAAATGTCCTAAAACCAAACCTAAACCTCATCCAGAAAATCACCACTGCTCAAGTTAGGGCAGCAACAGTTTTAGAGTTTCTGGCCTGAACCTTTACATGCCCATGCAGTTCTCACATTCATGATTTCCTTTCACAGCAGTAGACAGTGAAAACCTGTATTCATTTCCACTCCAACAGACTCTGGTCCTGTCCTAATCTCTTGTGGCTGAGATACTCCACAAGGCAAGGGAACAGGTCTCTTCAGATGGCAACCTGTGGGCCAAACCCTACTCGCTTCCATCATGGAGCTTCTGAATCTGATGAGTATGGATCAGTAGGACTGAAGAAACCCATCATTTAATGTGAGGTACCAACTGTGGACAGCAGTGCTGCTGCTCAGTCTGACTGGGGAATGGCCAGCTCTCTTTAACTGAGGAAAGGGTGAAGTCTGGATAGATGACACTTGCTAGCTGCAATCTGAGCAGGAAAATGGAGAGGGCTTGTTCCCTGTTGCACAGATGTGGTAGTGGCCTGCCTCCCTTCTTCCCAGGCTGTGGCCTCAGAAGGGCCGGTGTGTGCACAGACTGTCACATCTCCTCCACTGTGGTTGGAAGGCTTGGGAGTGTTCAATCTCCCGCACTGCTCACCAATGAGCTCACTCCTCATTAACAATGCAGTATGTATACCCAGAGACCAGGCTCAGCAGACCAGCACACACAACCCACTTCATCCCATTTTCTGCTTCCTAAAAGGGACGGAATTGCAGTATGTCTCCAGTAATAGTCATGTGCAGCTTCAGCAGTTAAGTGGTCTTGTCACATGTACACCTACACAAATCTACCTCACCTTTCTTTGGGTGAGCCAGGCAAGTTACTTGGAGTCTTCCTGCACATATAACACATGCTCCCCATCATTTTTCTGGTTACTGCCAGTCAATAAAAAGCCACTCTTTTCTGACCTTTGTAATTCTATTTCTGTATTTGGATTGTGCATTTTGTATGAGAGGGACTCTTGGAATACTTTAGGGACTGGAGCAGTAAACTGGCCACTTGCTGCATTGTTCTGTGTGCTTTGATCTCTGGATTCACTATATCTCATTGGAATGCCTTGTTCCACATTAAAATTAGTTAAACCAGGTTAAAAGAAAAAATTGCAAACATGCATTTACATTTACATTCTTTACATAACGTCTTTACATTAACAATAGGCACTGAAGTTACAAATGTTTATAAAATACACAGATGGAGAAATGAAAGGAATGCCGTATTTGATTACCTTACACAAGGACTAACTGGCACTTTAAATCAGATTATATCTCTCTTCTAACTATGCCACTAAAAAATTGTCTATTTTTTCTAACTATACTAGTTGATATAATAAATACGTAAGTTTTACTCTCAAACGATCTGTGTTATAATTTATCAGTATTTTCATTGTATAAGCCGTAATGCATGCAACATTAAACCCTTCAGAACTTCCTCTTTACAGTGTTAACAACCCAAGTTTCTGTTTCTCTAGGTGAACAGTTTAGGACAGCAGAACCCAGTACAGAGTCCAATGGTTCAACAATTTCCTTATCACCAGATGACTCCACCACAGCCTTCAAATTTCCGCTTTTCTCCCTATCAGAACCAAGCTGCAAACTTTAAGTCTGCACAGAGTTCTTTTGAAATGGCCCTGCCACACTCAAGTCACTGTGGAAGGCAGCAGGTGGATCAAAGAACCTATAAAAGAAAAAGAGAACACCAAAGTTATGACAGTGACACTAGCTCTGAGGGTGACAAAATGAGAGAAAGAAAGAATGGCGAAAAATACAGGAAGTGCAAAGCCAAGAGAAAGAGGCACTAATACTGTGTAACTGGGTTAGTCTTTATGTTATTTGCTGCTTTTATTTGAGGGGAATGCAATATTTCATCTTTGCACTTTATTAAAAAAATGAATGTTCAAGATTCATATTATTTTTGAAAAGTTTTATGCGTAAAGGATACTGATAACTTTATTTAATCTCAACCTATTTAAAGAGGAAAGTACTATTTTAGGTATAGGAAGCATTTAAGAAGATAAAGTTTTCCAAATAAAGAAAAAAACCTTGTTGATTCTCTCTTCACCCAAGAATCATGGAAGGCTATTATTTCACTAATACAGAAAGAAACTTTATGAAAATACATGATTTCAGCCACTCATGAAGCATATGTATCATGTCCATCACTTATGGAATGTATTTCTGTGGCTGGTGTGAGAATTCTCCGGAGCCACTGAAGACGTGAGCAGGCTAGAAATTCATCAGAGAACATCAGAGATGTGCTTGTCACTGAAGTACTGTAACTTTATTCTGAATTAGCTCTGCCGTTACTTTCAGTTAGAATCAGTTTGTGTGGTTATTGGAACTGGGTTTTTCCAGTAGTAACTTTGAGGTAAAATACAGGCTACAGGGTAAAATACACTGGCTACAAGACTTAACGTATGTATCAGTACTAAAATGCATGTATGTACTTTATGGCTTCAGTTATGTACTGAGTAGAATTATATGCAATATATGCATCTTTCTGTAAAGTTACTCTCTAGTGTTTTATTTGCTTATTTGAGAATCTTACTGTTCATTGTAACAAATCAATGAAAAATTTTGTATCTCATCTAAATGACAGCACAAAAGCATAAGTCAGTGAAGTCGGTGCTACCTCTTAAGAAGGAAAGTTTTCCCTAGCAAAGGAAGAATAAACTGTCTCATAATGTGATGAATCAAAGTAGTCAAATGACCCATTTTTTATCTTTCACAACTCCCACCTTTAGCCTGTAGACAGGTGCAGAGCTATTGTCTTACCAATACTGTCTTATGCAATACCAAGTACAGGTGAAACACTTTTAAGATCCTATTAAATGAGAAAGCAAACCACTTGGTTTTCAGCTATTTCATATGGCTTAAAGTCAAGTCTTCTGTTCAGAGCAGATGTAGGCTTCAAATTGACCCTGATAGTAAAAAAAGACTTTGATTTTGTTAAACTCAGTTTTCTTGGTTATAATGCTGGGTTGCTTTTCATCATTATACTGGTATTGAGAAAGAATACCCAAATTTACTGGTCTAAAGGTGATGTGTTTTACAAGCCAAGATGACTTTCAGAAATTGAAAAGCATTTAGCCTGCAATGATTTCTCTTTTGTCTGACAAGATAAAATACAGCTATTAAAATCACTTTCTCAAGACACTGCTTTTAATTTGCCCATCACTTCTTTAGCCTAAGAGGCATTCCTATAACACCACAGTATGGCATCCTCGGAACATCATTAGCAACTGAATTCAGCCTTCTCTAGAAATAACTTTATGTAACAAAGGTTTGTGCCTTAAGTAAAATGTCTTATATTTTAAGAAAGGTGTTAGGTCTGCCCAATCCGTTCATCAGACAAAGGAGAAAACGGATGGATGCTCAAACCAGAGTTAGTCTACAAAAGGAGAAGCTTAGTCAGGTCTGTGCTAGTGTGTCCTTACCAGGCGTCCAGGCTTTCCCAGCGGATAGGTAAGATAATCTGTTCTGTCCAATTATATTCTACAAAAGGAATGTCAAGGAGGATCATACTGCATATGGCTGACAACATATCAACACAGTTCTTCTGAAGGAATACTTTTTTCTTACCTTTCTTCTTCCCAATCTTCTCCCCACCACCTCCACTGCCCCCTCTAGGAGATACGGTTTTTAACACCTCTCTCTATTCACTTAGTTAGAACTCATCAGTGTGTTAAAAGTCATATGTGAATGTGCTAACATTACTTTAGCCAAAACTAAATTTCTTTCATACATCTGTTAAGACGTCACTTTTGTCGGGGCCCTGATGATATTTTAATTACATCGTCACCATGATTAAGAAATAAAACAAAAAAATCCACAGTTCAGCTTGGCCTTGACCAAATGCTTCTTCAACCTCCTGTTTCAGTCACTCCAAGAAAATTTTCATTAATATTAAATGAGTGTTTTCTATGTTAGTTCTGATTATAAATCACTGTTATTTGTCCTGGCCTTTCATTTCCTATGTTACTGGCTGGCCGTGAGACCCTGCTTTCCCTGCTGTCACACAGGTCTTGCATTCATTTCTCTCTCTTTTATCCCATGAATTCAATACACAGGTATTTCTGTTACAACCTCCCAAACTTCGGACAAATCAGTATTGCTCCGTCGGCGATTTCCACACACGCTCTGCAGCCGTGGGATGCCTTGACGCACGGCCCGCCCAGGGCACCGGGGGCCGCAACCGGGACTTTCCGGGTGTGGGGAAGCGGACGGGCCTCGCCGGGCCCAGGCTGCGGGGAGGGGAGGGCTGGGCGTGGGCCTGCGGCTGGAGCTCAGGCTGCGCCCCGGCTTCTCCGCCTCCGGTGCCTCTCCCCCTCAAGCGGGCTCTTGGGCCGCGGGAAGGAGCCATGGCCGCAGTCCGGGGGAAGCACAGCGGCTTCTACGGGCGCCAGAGTCCCACCGGCACGAGGGTGACAGAGCGGGGGGCGAGCGGGAGGAGGTGTTACGGATGGGGCTGAGGGCGGGCACCTTCCCCCCACGGCCTGCCTGCTGCCCCGGGGGCAAAGCGGGGCGCTGCGGGTGGATGCGTTGAACCTGCCGGAGTTCATGTAGGATTCGCGGTAGCGCTATGCAGAAAACCCGCAGCTAATGACAGCGGGTATGTGCTGGGGTCCGTCCTTCGAATTTGCAAGGAGGGAATAGCCTTTAGGCCAGGGTTTCGTTCAGCACAGATAGGAGCAGGAACAGCGTTTAAAGCAGGGAGTGTTCGTGACCAAGCCTTCGACTGTGTTCTTCAACAGTAAAAGGAAGTATTTCAAACAAACAGTGCTGTATGTGTGTGAACCGTGGCAAACATTGACACCTGATAGCGAAGGGTGAGTAGGTGCACAAGCCGAGGTGTTAGCGAAGGAGCGCATGCACGGTTGTTGCGTGTTTGTTAGCCGTGGACTGCCGTTTAATCATTCGAGTTTTCGCAGAAAGCACAACAAAATTGCTGTGGCAAATACCCAGGGTCTCGGAGCACCTGCGGCATGCGTTTTGGATAGGTGGGGTTTTGCACCACCTGCCGAAGGGAGCTGTAACTGCATCTTCTAGAAACGGGTTTAGAACGGTGCTTGCTGCGGCACAGAACTTACCCTCAGGTGTGCTGAAGTCACTCTGGAATGTGGTGTATCCAGTCCTGAAGAAACGTGGGAGAGTTCGTATTTGATTACCTCTATTGCACTTGCCTCGAGTGACTTCTGAAATTGACAGCAGTGCACAGACCTCATGTTCTCCTCAGTTATGTGCACAGTGCAATTACTAGTACTTCATCTCTTAGGGGCTGAAAGGAGTTTGCTGTTCTTTAGGTGTTAGCAGTGATAACTTCCAATAGCTAGGTTGTCAAATTGGGGAAAAAAAAATACCACAGGATTTTAAGTGTCAAAGTTTTAAGGAAGGTTTGCTTGTATTTGACATAGAATATCTCAATTTGGAAGGGAACCATAGTGATCATCAACTCCTATGCTTTACTGTTTGGTATGTGTAAATAGTGTAAAATCAAGCTGAAGTGGTGCTTGATATCCTCTTACACCAAGTTAAATTGTTCTAATAAGAACGTAGATCTCTTTCATCCTTCATACCTTGTGTTTGAGTGTGTTGGTGGGAGAAGATAACAGGCAAAGAAACGTAGACCTTATTATAGCCCAGAATAAAATAGCTCCTAAAACTGCCTGTTTAGTAAACAAACAAACAAAACCTATTTTTTTTTCAGTCTTTCAAGTAACATTGATACCTTTTTCTTTTTTTTTAACAGAATCGCAGCCCTGAAGAGAATGTTTTTTTCTTCAGTAAGTTAACGTACTCCTGGTTTAGCAGGTGAGAATTTACTAAACTGCCTGTTGGTGTTCACTGGTGTTCACAGAACTGTAGAGCACACATTTATGTTCCACACCATCATTCTGGCTTGAGCCAGGGTTTAAGCCTGAGATTGCTGTTAGCTTTTTGTACAAAAATCAAAATTTACGACTTTAGAGGTCATGCTAAAATATTTTGTGGAGTATTGTTTATATGTAGTTAACAGTCATTTTACACTGTATCTAATGGCATTATTTAAAACATTAACATTTTGGTAACTAAGCACAATATTCTTGTCACAGTGGACAACAAAAAAGGCCAAATTAGGCTATCATTTTTTATTGTGTAAAGTCTGCCAATAGACAAAAATGAAAATAAGGATTCCTTTATACTCCATGTAGTGATACAGCAATTTGATACATCTTCAGGAATAAATACTCAGCAGTACACATAAGGACTTTTCCAAGTAGCCAATTTCATGCTCGTTTTCTTCCCTCTTTTATGGTAGGCCACGTTGTAACTGTAGGTCATCTGCTCATAAGGCCCAGCAGTGTCCCTGCACTTACTTGGGAAAGTTTCCATTCAAAAATAGGAACTGAAAGTTCAACTATGTTGAGTAACACAGCTTCCCATCGGTTAATATTTTGGATGTTATTTCAAACAGTTTCATGTTACATCTTGTGGCCATTACTCACTTTTAACATTTTCCTTTTTTCTTCTTTAAAAATCCTTTGAATCAGATATAAACAGTTCAGAAATCTAAAAGTGAGAAAAAAACATTTTAGGAATATAACAGTTTCTTGCTTTATTCAATATTATTAATTTTAAGGAAAACATGAAAATGGTGTTTATTGTTAATAAACTGCGACAAAATGATCAGATTGCTTCAAGGATTCAGAGTATTCGGTTGAACTCTGGCCCTGCTGAAATTAGGAGTTCACCACCAGTTTCAGAGTAACTTTGGTTTTTACCAATCCTCACTTTCTACACCTTAAATACAATAAGTACACTAATACAAATTTTCAGGTTTTCTAGACTGTTACTAAGTGTTCTGAATGCAGGACTTCTATATGACATTTATGTATTCATTATGTCAAAGTAGTCACCCAAATGTTCAAGCTATTCGATCCTTTGTATGTTTTAACCGATTTCCCAATGCTCAATGAAAGATGAGAGGGGAAAAAAGCATGTAAGTTCTGCTCAGCAAGAGCTTATTTAGCTATGAAATAACTGAATGCGATTAAACTAATGTTGTGAACATTAGTTATATCTTTTCACTCCAATCACAAGCAAACACAATCAGTTATGTCTTATACTCACCTTAAGTGCTTACAGTCTAAGTGAATCAGTCTCAAATAAGTGTTACATATTAAATCCATAGTGGTATACAATTTTTCTTTAGAATTCAGTCAATCTGTAGATGGCATTTGTTAGACCTGTTTATCCTCTGGCAGCAGCGAGTTTTAGGATTGAGATGAGTTATGCAGAATTCTTGAACAACAGTTCCCCTCCGGTACCTCTTAGTCTGCTTTCCTTATGTTTCAAGAGCTGTAACTGTTAGGGAGAAGCTGTGTTATTTTTGCCTTAATTTATCAGGCATAAGGGAAATTTACTTTGTATTAATGGTGCAGGTTCAGTAGATGTTTGGATGGCCCTTGGACAGTGAGGTCTATCCCTGAAAGAATTTTACAACCTCCAGAAAAGTGTCTCTGAGTCTTTATTTTCTGTCCTGTGATAAACACAATGATACCTACGTTAGCCCCAAGGCCAGCACTGGCACTGACTGGCACTGGAGTAATACACGAAATGCACAGGCGCTGCACTTGTGTTGCGGTTCTCAGGGAGGGAGATCTCCAGCAGCTTGAAAGCAGTAGAGCTGCCACTGAGAGGAGACACACTCCACTGTCTATACATGTGTCTCTTGTCTGGGACTTCCTTTAAGTTAGAAGATGTTGTCAACATTAATCCTTTTGAATTTTCCCCACATCTTACCCCCTTAAGTGGGCAAAATCCCTTTGTTAAAATTTTAACAGCTAAAGATCTGCTGTAAAGAAGCTTCCAGTTTGCTTGTGCTGAAACCCACTAGTTTAATGTTGCTACCTTGGTTAAAGCAGAGTTGCAACTTAATGAGTCACTGTCCCTGGGGTATTTAAAAGACATATGGCACTTAAGAGACATGGTTTAGTGGTAGACTTGGTAGTGTTAGGTTAACTGTCTGACTCAATGATTCTAAGGGTCTTTTCCAACATAAATGATTCTATGGTAATGTAGTCCTGTGCCAAAAAAGGTATTTCATTCCAGATTACAACAGTAAGTTGGTAAGGATGCTACACATTTGTTTACGAAATAGTATATTTTCCTATAAAGAAATATGGGATCAGAAATGCAGATATTCTGGGTTACAGAGGTTCCTGAGAATTTGCTTTTCAGATGTGGCCATCTGCTTAGGCTCTTCTTACTTCAAGTCAATTTTAGTCTATTTAAGGTGACTGTGAATATGTTCCACTATTTAGTCTGTACCATTTATAGGGTTTTTGATTATGATTATGGAGTTTATTTATATGAATTAAATTATATCATTAGTTTTTTTCAGTTAGTAGTTCTGCTGGTTTTGTCTGCGATATTTCATGCTGTCTAAATTAGTTTGTTTCTTTCAGATTAATATCTATAGGCTATAAGAAGCCATTGGAAAGGTATGACCTGTTTGAACTGAATGAAGGAGATTCACCGTACACCGTGTGTCCTAACTTTGAAAAGCAATGGAGAAAAGAAATCCAGATGTCCACCACAGGATCAATGGTAGCTACAACTCTGACAATAGGCAATATTCTTTTCTGAATGTATGGAGTCTAGAAGTTGGAGCAGATTTCTAGAACCTTACGTATTGAACAGCCTCTCTATTCTGTAGATCACAAAGGCCATTCAGTGTTGTGATCAGGGATCTCTGGTGTGGCTATTAGATTTTTCTAAATTGTTTTAAGTTTCAAATTTACCTCTTACAAAGATCATATGTTATATTTTAACACTTTAAGGGATGTGGAATCTACTTTGTTGATTAATTGCCATCTTTGTCACAACTGTCCAATTAATTTCTCTCTGAACTTGTCTGTTTCTGTCTTATCTTTGCATCTCTAGTTGAGGTAGAATAAAAATCTACCTGAAAGTCTATCTACTGATAAGATAGCTGCTTATCAGTAGATGCCCTGGTTTATAGAACACACAAAACAGGCTTCAGTTTTCTTTAATTTTAACAATAGTGAGTTTTACAGATATTTTGTTTGTTTGTTTTTGCCTGAAGTATTCTATGTGATTTTCATGTAAACCCTTGACAGTTTCAGTCACAGTTACTATTTGGTTGTTGTAGTTAAAGTACACTAGGAGCTCTGTAATGTTAGGAAGTTCATGAGAGAGAACCTAACCTGTAAGTCCAGTAAGAGTGTAGCTTTTGTTTTTTAATACAAAGAAGAGGGCTTCTCCAGAGTCTGACCTTACTTTATCTCTTCAGTGTTTTTCTTAGCTATTTGTAGATTTGTCTTTTCTTCCAGTGATGGTTTGTACACACCAAAACCTTTTGTACCAAAGCATTCAAAAGTGTTTTTCAATAAGGATATTTTTTCCATTCAGATACTGGTTTTATTGTTCAAATAATCTGTCCTTCATCACTATGTTAATTAAGAAAGGCTGACTCTTTTTTTTTTAGCCCTCATTAGAATGTTTGCAATTGCTTGAGGTACATTCAAACTGAACAAAAAATAGTCACTTGGCAACTGAAAATATTCTGAAGGAGTGGAAGGGTTATTCAGCCTTAAATACAAAGTTGGTGTGAGCCTGCTACAAATATTAACGCATTGATTTTGAAGCTTAGCTCAGCTTTTATGATACTTTTTTTGACCTGTAATAATCATTTGAGGATTAAATTATTTTCTAATTATTTATGTGGATGATTGGGCAATTCTAGAAATTACATTTATCATTCCTTGAAAAACCGCTGGCTAGGCTAAATAAAACCAGACTTCATTTCTTACATGAAAGCTTTTCTTTTAACTGTAGGAAATGCTCTTTTTAAGATCATAAGTACAGTGATGGCTTTAGATGGACTTGATATTACTTATTTTATATTTATAAATACGGATAAAGTTCAAAAATACTTTTTCTCTTAATTCTAAGCATATTTTTGTAATCTTTCAGGCTTCTTGTATGAAAAGACATAAACCATCTTTGATTTGGTCATTATGGCAAACATTTAAATGTGTATTGATTAAAGTTTCATTTCTGAAAGTTACAGCCGACATTCTGGCTTTCATGAGTCCGCAATTAATGAAGTAAGTTTTTATTATGTTTCACTTTATGATCAGAAAGTAACAGCAATAATAAAGCTAAAGGGTTTCCAATATCAAAAGCAAACCAAGGAACATCTTAGGTGTGTAAAGATTTTGTTTGCTCCCCATTCCTGTGATTATCTGAAAATGATCTACTGAGGGAAAGCTCAAAGAGATCAGGAATCTCTTAGCCAAAGGACTGAGATGAAACCAGTAGAACTTCAATTCCATAATATTGTTTTTAAGTATTTAATATATGTACAAGAAGATGTTAAGAAAAAATGAGGCACCAAGTTATTTAACTTCTCTGCTTCTTTAACAATATTGTTCCATCTCTGTTGAAAAAACCCGCAAACCTAAATATATAATAATATCTACAGCTTCAGCATTTGATGTGAAACTGCAGTGACTGTTGTTATCATGTTGGCATCATGAGGCTGGTGGAAGTGGTTTTTGAAATCGTGCTTACCACAGAGGTGTGAAGAATTTATCAGATACCTGTGTGTTTATAAGGAAAAGAATTATTGTTAATCTCCAAAATCCGAGTCAACGTAATCTTGAACAAAATCTTCAGCTATAAAATCTGTCTGAAGACATCTGGTTGCTGGTTATTTAAGATAACCTTTTACTAACACAAAAATAAGAATTTTCCTGTAGATTTTTTTCCTCTCTCACTTTCATGGCTGATAGCTGCAACCTTTCTAAGTACAAATATCTAATTGTATTCTGTTTTTTTTTTCTTTTATGCCATTATTTATTTATTCACCATTGTCAGGGATGTCAGTAACAGCACATTCATGGCTAAAATAGCATTTGAGAATTGTTTCTAAGCTAACAGATTGGAAAACACAGATAGGACCTGCCTTCTTTATAACATAGTATTTCTTCGTGACCTGTCACCATATCTAAATCCAAAATGGACTTAGTTAAACAAGTTTCCAGTATTTCAGCTTATTGAACTTTTATAGTTGTTTTAATACACAAAATGCATCTTTTTTCCTTTGTTTTCAGAGCAATGATAGTGGTCAGTGAAGATCATCCAACTTCATATGGGAGTGGATATGGCTTTGCTATTGCCCTGTTTTTTGTGGTTCTCTCACAAACTCTTCTCCATCAGTTATACCAACGTAACAACATGCTTACTGCAGTCAAAATCAAGACTGCAGTTGTTGGCCTGATGTATAAAAAGGTAATCGTGTTTTCACTTTTCTTTGAAAACAAAGGCTAAAATAAAACACAGAGTGTTAAAAGACAGTGTGCTCTACCAGCACGATCAAAACCCAGGATGTTATACACTGGTGACAGGCTACAGCAGATTGACTTTGTGTATTCTGATGATTATTTATTTATAATAATCTAGAGTTTCAGCAGCATTTCTATTGGGAGACTCTAATCCTGAAATTACATACTTTTGTCAGCCACCTGTACAGGCATAATACTTGGGCAGTATGTAGAAACTGATCTCTTCCTACTTTGGTTATGGATCAATCTCCTGTATTTACTGAATGAACTGAGAAGACTTTATAGGTTGGATGTCCAGGAAAAAGCAAGGGTATAAGTGGTAACTGTTTTTACTGTACAGTAGTAGTGAATGTGAGAAGCTGAAGTTTGCTATATTGTCTCCTTTGGAGATTGAATATACACACCCCTCCACCACCCCCAATTTTAGTAAAACTGATTTTCTGCTGAGTTGAATACCCAGTAGGTTAATTGTTTTTCAGGTGTTTAGAGGATGACTAACTGCTGTGGAAACCTATCTATAACTTATCCCACCTTTAATAAGAAATGCTGAGGTGGCAGCCATAACACATTGGCATTTTTACTGCAGTATTTAGCTATCAGGCACAAGTTAAGGAAGTAAAAAAATAATCCAGATCTGAAATAAATTACTGTCTTTGTTAATATAAAATTATAAAATATAGTCTCTTTTCTCAAGAGAGCCAAAACAGTCTTTTGACATAGGCTTCTCAGGTATGTTCTGAATCACTACACAAAATTTTACTTACAAGTTGCAAATCAGTTAAAGAAAGGACTTCATTCTCTCAAGTCTCATATCGAGGTGTGTCAGTAAATCAGATCATGAACAGCAGAAGAGAGTCTCCAGCTGGGGTGGGCATGTCTCCTGGGCAAGTTTTCACAGCTATAGGATAGAGATAGAGCTTCTTCCTCTCTCTGAGTAGAGTTGATTAGTGAATGCTGGGTCAGGTTGTGCTTTGCACGTGGGATGGATTCTGGAGTGAGCAGCTGCAGCCCTGTCTTGGTATATGCAGGATTTTCAGGTGGTATAGTAGAAAAATATGAGGCAGTAACGTGCAGAGGGAGAGAGAGCGTGTGCATGTGATTGGGTATCAGTCCTGATACACATGGAACCTGTGTTATCTGCCTGACACACTGAGATTATACATGTGCTTGTTGTGAAGCCTGCTGCTTCTGGTTCCTGCACTAGGAGGTTCTAAGCAAGGCCAAAGATGAGGCTTTCTTAGCCCTCTTTATGCCATGTTCCTCTTATAAAGAGTTGCAAGTCTTGTTTCAGAGTTCAGCTTTGCTCCAATTACTGTGTTCTTAGCTTCTGCTGGGCAGCTAAACCTATCAAAATTGTTGAGTTTTGATTGTGACCTCCATTTTCTGGTTGCAGGCTTTAACTTTAGCAAATTCCTCACGACGAAACTATACAACTGGGGAAATTGTTAACCTGATGTCAGCAGATACTCAGCAACTCATGGAAATGGCTGTAAACCTCAACCTCTTGTGGTCAGCACCTTTTCAGATCATCATGGCTGTTGTCTTTCTCTGGAAAGAACTTGGCCCCTCAGTCCTAGCAGGTGTTGCACTGCTTCTTTTGGTTATACCTATAAATGCGCTCATTGCAGCCAAAGTAAAAAGACTGAAGGTGAGCTATTTAAATAAGCATAGTAAGAGAGATTAAGTTGTCATAATATAGAAATGAAGGGGTGTGTGTACAAATTATGCATGTGTAAGAATACTATAGGTATATCTAAATCAAACTCCAAACAAATAAGCAAAGCCAAGCTGCAGCTGTTTTTCACTGGAGGGAAGCATAACTGGAGTTATGCCATATGTTTGATAGCTAAAGTAGTATTTAGTTTGGGTACCTGTATTTCCATTATCCTGAAACAATAATTTTGTATTAGTAAAAATTACTGTGTGATTCATTTAGGAAACGACTGTGGTTTTGCATATTACATGAGTTAATTCTATTAAATAAGGGATTTTTGTAGGATTACGGCTCTCTTCTACTTTTATTATTCAGGCTAAGCTGCTCACTCAAATTTAGCACATTCTCTTGAGATGGGAATTCCCATAGAGGTACTGCATGTGTTCTGATTTCCTTTCTGCTTCTCTGATGCTACAGTTCTCTTGGCACTATATTGCCTGTTAATACTTCTATTTCTATGAGGTCCATTGGAAAAAACCCACAAAACTAAAACCCTAAGTTTTGTTTCATAATCGCTATCAAGGCAATTATTTATCTCTTTTCTTATTCTGCCTTTGGTGACACAGCATGCAGTAGCGACTCTGGGTCTCCATTAATTCTTTTGTAAGGCTGTGACAGTTTAGAAACATAGAAAAAACAAGAAAACACTCTCACCTCTTTTGCAGATGAGCTGTTACAGCTATACATGCACTTAGATCCCTACTGTGATATGAGAGAGAGAGAGGAAATACAAAAGGCAATTAAATTCTGTCTAAAAGTTTGCAACTTGTTGTGTTTGAATAAGACACAAAACATTAAAGAGGCTGCTAATTAGTATTATAGAAATGTGAGATGCAGAAGAGTCTGTGTGTAGCATAGGAGTAAGAAGAATTTCTGTGTTTCTTTGGCTGGTTCTTTCAGTAACAATGTATTCTTCAGTAACAAAGGAAGTTTTCTTCCTAACCTCTGTATATATGCATATATATGTGTTCAGTGGTTTATATCCATATAGTGTTACATATATAGTCATGTTTGTGTGTATATAGTGTTATACTATATTGTTAAAATGTTATTTTAATGTATTTAATGCTTTACCTAACTAATGATTTCCTTATACTACGTATGTATCTGAAAATGGTATAACTGCTTTCTAGTGTGCTTTTTAGAAAGGTAAAAATAGCAAAAAAGGTATTTATTGCCTATAGAACACTGAATATTTTACTCTCCATTTTCTTTTGCTCCTTGAAAAATGTAAACATTGCTGTCTTTTAACCAGAAAAGCCAAATGAAGAATTCAGATCAGCGAGTCAAGCTATTAAGTGAAATGTTACATGGCATAAAGGTAATGCAACAACTAACAAGAGTTTGGGGTTTTCTGTTAGGTTGCAAAGACAGAGAGTAAGTTATTTAAAAAGCCCTAGGTTTTATGAGTAACATTTCAGCTAACAGTGAAAAAAGTTTGCAGAGAAAGTGCTTTTGGAAATATTTACTGGTTTAATTTGATTTGAAAAACTTATTATTCATGATGCATTATTTTTAATACCACATTTTAGTGAGAATGTAAAATATATTAATAGATGTCTGAAAACCTTCGGCAGACTGAAATTTTAGTATAGAAGAAAAGCACTTCACAAAGTTGTCTCACTTTTGTTGTTTATCCTGTTTTGAAATAAACCATCTCATCATTTATGATACATACGGGAAAAGATGAGCTCTGTAGAAGTAACAGTAATGGGAGTATATCTTTCATAAGAACAACCTAATTTAGAGTTATCTCAGGTCTTGCTTTCATTTGTAAAACATTCAAATTGTTGTAGTTTGCATTGGTGATTATTTGAAAATGACATTTGGAGCTTTTGCAAAATAAGCATGGTCACTGTTCTTTTGTTTTATAAAGATACCTTTGTTTGCTTGTTTAGATCCTCAAACTTTATGCATGGGAACCTGCATACCAAAGGAAGGTCATGAGCATTAGAGAACGTGAAGTGGATGTTTTGAAGTCTTCTGGGTATCTGACGACTTACTCCATGCTAACATTGACGTGTATTCCTTTTATGGTTTGTTTTATAAAAATATTAATTCATGCAAGTCTGTTTCTCCGGTTCCCGTAGCAAGGGTCATTGAAAGAGCTTTAAACTAAACTTGAAGGGGGAAAGGGATAAAATCAAGCTCATTAGAGATAAGCCTGGGTCCAGCATGCCAGGGTTTGAGGGACAGGATCTTACTGCTCTCTAAACTACCTGAAAGGGGTTGTAGTGAGGTGGGGGTCAGTCTCTTTTCCCAAGTAACAGGTGATAGGACAAGAGGAAATGGACTCGAGTTACTCCAGGGAAGGTTTAGGTTGGATATTAGTGATATTTTCTTCACCGGAAAGGTTGTCAAGCATTGGAACAGGCTCACCATGCCTGGAGGTATTTAAAAGGTGTGTAGATGGCACTTAGGGACATAGTTGGTGGTGGACTTGGCAGAGCTGGGTTAACAGTTGGACTCAATGATCTTAAAGGACTTTTCCAACCTAAATGATTCTATGGATCCAACTGGAAACTTCATTATGGATAAATGGCCACCGTTAACTTCAGTTACAAAAAATGACATCTTCTGGTGCTTAACGCATGGTATGTAAGAGCTGAAGAGGAATAGTCCTTAGGAATAGTGAAAGGGAGGATTAAGGCCATCCTTCAATCTGTAACCTTGCTAGCAATTGAAATAGTTAAAGCAGTGAGCGAGAAAAATTCACAAGTTGAATTAAATGCAGTGAAGTAATCAACTTCTTATTTAGAACTTTATTAGGAGTCTTCCTACTTTATAACTAGTTAAGTTTAGGACTCTGAAATTCAGCAAAAGGCAGAAAAGAATCCGTAGGACAGGTTGTTAAATGTGGGCTTTTCTGGGTATTTTGAAGGCTTGGCTGTCTGTTGTGTAAGAGTCCAGTTTATTCTCTGACGACTACTGACTAGATTCTTGAAAATAATTCCAAGTGTCCAACATAAAAATCCCTGCAGTAAATAATTCTATTTTATGTCCAATATCATAGCAATAGCAAGAGAAAGATAAAGAAAAAGGTGAATTTCCTGAAATACCGTGTTTGAGTGTTTTAAAAATGAAGAAAACACTTGATGAGATGGGGAAGCTATTTCATATAGTTTCACATTTATCTGGTTGGGTCAAAGACAGTTGCCATGGCCTTTGCTTACTAAAATGATGGTATTCCTGCAATCAGTATTGCAGCTATGCAACAATTTCCATGTGCAGCAGTTACAGAGCTCCTGCTTATACATGAGCAGAAATGGGATACTGCACCTTTCAAATGCAAACAAAAATAGTATCTGTGTATAACTATGATTTTGCTTCTGGATATGTGATTTTCTTTCATTTATTTAAAAGGTCTCCTTGGCTACATTTGGAGTCTTCTTTCATCTGGACAAAGATAATGTTTTAACAGCAACTAAGGTTTTTACATCTATTTCTTTATTTAACATTTTACGACTGCCTTTGTTTGATTTACCGTCTGTGATCTCTGCTGTTGCCCAGGTAAACATACTATGAATAAGTGCCATGAAAGGTTGATGTTTATACTCTTGTCATGTTTCATCTGTTTCTATGAATGGTTAAGTCATTATTTATTTTAAGTTACATTTTGTTGACATGAAACTGCACAGTAGTTTTATGGATTGAGAAGCATGAAGGATGTTTAAAGGATGTTTCTGTCTTAAGGAGAAAGAAAATTAAAGGATTAACTATAAATTCTAACACTGGATATGTCAAGCATGCTCTGTGGCTTGATAACTATAAAGCAGTAGATCCTTAGAAAAAAAATACACTTTTTTGACTTTAGATTGTTTAGTACTTTAAGGAAAATATTTTTTAAATACCTAAACACCTTTTTTGTCTATCTTCAAATAGAAGATATTTGACAAGGAATATTATCTAGAACTTTAAAGTATTAAAATATTAAGTTTTTAATTTTAATTTAAGGAAGCACAGGCATGTTGTATTATATCTAATCTATCTACCTATCTACCTACCTACCTACCTACCTACCTACCTATTCATCTTGCAGACCAAAGTTTCTCTGAGCCGTTTAGAGGATTTTCTCTGTGCTGAGGATATTAACCCTGAGGATGTCAATACAAACTACAGTGGAAGTAAGCAGTAGTTATTATTTTTTTAATTGGTCATGAGTTTATATGGATAATCATTAAGAAACTCAACTGAGGGGATGGATTGGCAACTCTTTGGTCTCTTTTTCTTTACTGCAACAGATAATGCTGTTGGGTTTATTGGTGCTTCTTTCAGCTGGGAAAAGAATGGCATGCCCATCTTAAAAAAGTAAGGTATTTCTCACTGTTTTTTTTTATGAGCTCCTTTGGCAGAATGTGATATTTATAGAGATTTTGTTCAGGTTTAATACATTTTCATTCAGATTAGTTCATGATGTTACATACCAAAAATAACATAAATTATTGTTTCCAGAGCATCCCATGTGACCAGTGTGCTCTGGAACGTCAAATCTGACCTGGTGTCCCTGATGCTCCAAGAGAAACCATGTAAAAGTGCATGTTTCCCAGTATAGCACTGTATTAAGTGCTATGGGAAGCCAGTGCCCTTCCCTTTCCTCTTCCTCTCTCCCACTCCTACTCCCTCTGCCTCTCCATTTCTCTTTCCCTAAGAGGTCTAGCAGTTGATTGTCAGAGCAAGACAGAACGTAAACAACAGGCCTGAGAATAATATGATAAAACCATTCTTTGGTTAGACTGTCTCCAGTTGATTTCATTGGGACCAGATGAAAGCACAGTCTTTTAACTTGCCGACAAATCAATCTATATATAAAGCCATTATTGCAAGTTTCTGAAAGGTACATAGTCAAAAGACATGCGACCTGATGTACTAATTCCTCATCATTCTGAGGGTAAAATAGACTGTTTCTTTCTCACAGTGACCACTACTCATACATGATGGAATGTTTACAAAGCGAGTAACTAATTTGTCTTCCTCAATATTTCCAGCTTGAGTGTCAGCATTCCTGAAGGCTCTTTAGTTGCTGTTGTGGGAAAGGTTGGATCTGGAAAGTCATCTTTTCTTTCTGCTGTTCTTGGAGAAATGGAGAAGCTTGAAGGAACAGCTCAGAGAAGAGTAAGATTGTCTGTCTGTGTCCCCCTGCCCTGCCCACTCTTCAATACCTAAATTAAGCAGAACTGCTTTTGAAAGTGCGGTTTTTCCTCCTCAGCTATTTATGGTTGTAGAAATACTGACAAAGGTAGCTCCAGCTTCTTGAATCTTCAAAGAAAAGTAAGAATACAGTGACATTTGTTATAGAATCATAGAATCGTTAGGGTTGGAAAGGACCTTAAGATCATCTAGTTCCAACCCCCCTGCCGTGGGCAGGGACACCCTACGCTAAATCATATCACCCAAGGCCTCGTCCAGCCTGGCCTTGAACACTGCCAGGGATGGAGCATTCACAAACTCCCTGGGCAACCTATTCCAGTGCCTCACCACGCTAACAGGAAAGAATTTCCTTCTTATATCCAACCTAAACTTCCCCTGTTTAAGTTTTAACCCGTTACCCCTTGTCCTGTTACTACAGTCTCTATTGTTAATAATGTAACAATTTTGCTTTGTTGTCAACCTACATGATTGCAAAGCTATTTTCATTTTTTTTATAATCTATATAATTCAGTGCAGAAATCATGAGTGTTTAAGTCATGTATTGAGACTAACCATCTCTAATGTTTGCTGGTTTTGAACGTACAAACATGGCCCACTCGGAGCAGTTATAAGCTGATATAGAAGATGATCAACTTTCTTGCAATGATTTATGTGGATAAGGAAATAGAATACAGGATGTGGATACAGGATATGGAAACAGAGGTTAAAGCTGAACTTTAGGCAGAGATGGAATTAGGGTGCTGGCTCTCCTAGCAACACAGACCCCAGTAGCTTAACTTGTCTTGTAGTTACATAGATCAATGAAAGGCCCCAGTGCAAAATAGAGTTTAGGGAAGTTTTCAATAGGTTATAGATACAGAGGAAGTTAACCTCTGATGACAGACTACAGTGCTTGAATCAGTAAGTATTAGTGAATAAGCACGGTATCAGTTAATCTGCTTGCAAGTGGATGTGGCACCGTTAAAGAAGTGTCCTAGCCTTGAAAATAAGTGTTGAACAAGAATCCGCTCCTGTGGAAAGCAAGTACAGTATCCTGTCACTGTTGCGGGGTGGGGAACAACTATGAAGTTGAGGTGTTTTGAATCTGAAAGTAGTAATTAATGGGAAAAAGATTAGCTGTGTAAAATCTATAAGGAAGGCATATATCCAACAAGTGTATCTATGCTATCAATTTGTTGTAAAATTAATAGAATTTAACAGAGCATGTAGCTGAATGTAAGAAAAGATTTATGAGCATTTCCAGTTATCGTTCCTGTCCTGTAACCTTGATTTCTAATTCTAATTTCATGCTGAGACATTCCACAGCATGTAATATAAAAATACAGTCAAACTGTATTTTGATATATACCTAATACAGACCCATTTTGCTGCATATAAATCTTACAGTAGATGCCTGTTTGTCACCAAGATCTTTCCCTGAAAGGCTGTTCAATATATGTTCCAGCTTTGTTGGGTTTATTCACAGCATGTGCTCTTGTAATAATTACAGGCAAACTGTTATACAGGACTGTTCAACAGATTGTTTTTATTACCTGACTTAATTAAAATGTTAACAGTTTAATAATATAAACAGCTTAATAATTTTGGAGGTAGTTACTGGTTACTTTGAGGAAAAGCTGGATTTTCAAACATATTTTTAAATCCTTTTTTTTTTTGTGTTCACAGCCTGAGTAAACAAATTGTTTCCAATTCTTTTTAGGGCTCAGTGGCCTATGCTTCTCAGCAGGCTTGGATTCAAAATGGCACTTTACAGGAAAATATTCTCTTTGGTGCAAATCTACATAGGCCATACTATGAACTTGTTTTAGAGTCCTGTGCTTTACTGCCAGATTTGGAACAGTTACCGAATGGAGACCAAACAGAGATCGGAGAAAGGGTGAGAATTTGAGGGGTCAGAAATGATGCAGTAAGTTACAGCTTTTATGTTTTTATGTATTACCTATTTGATAATTTATACTGATGACTTAATCAGTGCTCAGCCAAGTAAATCTATCACATCTCCTTACTTAGCTTACTTACTTTGAACTTAAGTTTTGTCCAAACTCTGAACACTTAAAATGGTTCTTTTCTATGCAGAAGTTTGAGTCAGCCCTGCCCTGTTCCCAGAGGGCTCCCTCTATAATGTAAAAATTCCTGTATGACTGTAAATAAAAGTATTTTTTTTTAATTTTCCAAACTACCTTGCATTCACCCATTTTGGAGTGAGAATTTAATCAACAGAGCTCAAACTTTGTTCTGATTACTTGAAAATCCACATTTACCTTTCTATATTCATATCTAGTATAAAATTTACTTTGTTTATCTGAAAAACTAGTGAGACGGAGTGTAATACACTCAGTATTTCATTTTAGCATTTCATATTTAAATGTGGACTATTTTGCTTTCTTAGGGTGTCAATATAAGTGGAGGGCAGAAGCAGAGAGTGAGTCTCGCTAGAGCTGTGTACAGCAATGCTGACCTGTATCTTCTGGATGACCCGCTGTCTGCTGTAGATGTACATGTTGGGAAACACCTTTTTGAGAAGATAATTGGCCCTTCAGGTCTCCTAAAAAGCAAGGTAAAGTAGGGTGGCCTCCTTTCAATTTGGGGATGAATTGGTTTGCACAATACAGTGGACACAGTAGAAGTCTCAGTCATTCTGCAGAAGGTCATCTCTCACCTAGTGTGTCGATGAAAATTGTTCTGCAATAAAGAGGCTAAATTGAAAGCACAGCTGTTTGTCTCGGTTTGAAGCCTTTTGGGTAGGGATAGAACAGACCAGAAAAAAAGATTGAGAGCTTACCTGACATGAGAGTCTGAAAGCTTCACATAATATTTGCTTATTTCTTCTTTACTGCCAGTTTCTGAGGAGTGCCAGTGTGTATAGAAGGCTGGGTGGAGCCCTTTGTGGTTACTCTTGATGCCTCACTGTAGTAAATAGGTTATAGAAAGAAAGGCTTCTTACTGAACAAAGAAATTCCTAGGGGAAAGTGGCTCAGAAGGAATAGGTTCTCCCATTTCACAACTATTCATGTGGGAAGGGAAGATAGTTTGTAAAAAATCTCTTCTCAGTGTTATGAATTAATACAGATCATTCCTGCTGGCTGATGCATGCAAAAAGCATGTATTACTGTGAAATATTTACTATTATGAATACACTACTTACTATGAGGCAAATGTCTTTCGCTTTCCCTTTCTTCCTTCTCCCTTTTATCAGTTTACCTGCTCCATGGGTTATGTGGCAGAAGCAAGAACACTAATAATGGTAGACTTGTAAGCAGATTTTAATGTTGAGATTATAAAAGTAAATGTAGTAGATTAAAATCTGTTTTATCTACTTCTTCTCCTTACAACCTAATCTAAACCATTCTTGAGCAGAGAATGCACATTAAGAAATAGAAAAGTATAAGTAATAGTAAATAGTTGTAAGCATAAAGTTTGACATTACAATCAGCAGTTAAAAGAGTAATATAGTAAAGTGGGAAATAAATAATATAATAATAGAGTGGACAAATGAGCAAAATCCCAGAAAAATTCCATATATCATTCCAGTTAACATAACTGGAATACATCATATCATGTCTACTTTTAATATACACTTTGTATTTATATGAAGAAATGGAAAACAATGTGTTTCAGACTCGTATACTGGTGACCCATAATGTAACATTCCTGCCTCACACCGATCTTATAATAGTAATGGAAGCGGGCAGAATAAGTCAAATGGGGACCTATCAAGAACTTGTTTCAAAGAGAGCTAATTTTGCTGATCTTATTCAAGTCTTCAGTGCAGAACATACAACTGAAGAGACAACTCCTGTGGAAGGTGAGAAAATCTGTATGCTGTGTTTGCTTAGTACTTTTTCTTTTAATTCAAGATGTTAAAAATATTCCTCCTGGAAAATAAATAGAATAGTTGCTGGAAAATGTCTAAGTTTTGGTATAGAATTACAGGTTATACACTGAAAAATCAGGCTTTAATATCTTGAGATCAAATGGTTTACTCTTTCAACTAATGAATATATAATATGCCTTATTCAGCTGTTTACTACCTTTGCATGCTGTATGAATTGCCTGGCAAAGTTACCTGATTCTGTTAAGTATTTGTCACCCAATAAAAGATTTGTGGACATTTTAAATTAATCTTGCAGTGTCAGCGATTATGTCCTGTTTTATATTGGATGCTTCCCATTTCCATCACCTTAGAGTGCTGCATGGAGCACAGCAGAAGGAGTAAGAGACTATTGTCCATCTGTAGGAGACAAAAAATGGATTGGGACTTAGTTTACTTCTGTACCTGAGTTGTTCAATGTGTGCTCTTGAGAGTTGCGGGAAACAAATACGTACATTGACAATACAGTCTGTTTGACCTGTTTTCATCATGTACTTCAGAAAATTGTGGTTATTTAATTTTGAGAGAGGGAATCTCTCCACATGACAAGAAGATTCCTATAACAGATACATGACTGCAGATGTTTGCAATGCTGGTCTCCAGTTAGCTTAGCTACATTGAGTCTGCAGTAAGTACAGTGCGCAATCTGGTGGTCTGATTAATTTGGGCCCTCTACTGGAGCCAGCACTCTGGGTTTCATGGGGAGGAGCAGAAAGACAGAACAGCAGATTTGCAAAAGGCAGCAGTGGGCAGTCTTGAATTAGCTGTGTTGGGCTGAAAGTATGAGATAGCTGTGTAAAGGAAATATGTATTATTCATGAAAGGTAATAAAGTGAGGGAAGAGAAAACAAAGTAATGAGGAGAAGAAACAGCATGATACAACATTATACAGCAGAGATACATTCAGCAGGATGGTATGATTTAAAAATCATATATTTGTCGTGACAGATCTGTTGACAAAACCAACATCAAATATGAAAATAAGGAAAAAAACCCATTCCTGGAAGAAAAAAGTGGTGACTCCTTTCATTAACACACAAAGAGCAGCAAACTTGGTTTTCCAGCCATGATGCGAGAATACTTTGAGATAAACACTAATGCTAATACTTGTAGGGATACACTTTCACTAAGCAAGAATGAAATGCCAAAGAGACTCTGGGGTCTTGGAGGAGATTTACCCACTGTCACAGTTTCAGTTTGGTCATAAAACTTTCCGTCTTATGTAGTAGCTGTCCCAAGACTAGGTCGACTTCAGTAGTTCATACTTCAAAGTATTCTCATCCATCATTTTGTCCCAGTTTTTAATTTCTAGCTTCCTGTACTGTGCCTGTCTACTCATGGCATAATACTGAAAAATGTTTTGATTCTTTTTTTTTTTTCTGTTGTAGTGAGATCTCCCAAAGAAGAAGGCCAAATGGGCAGGAGTCTGCAAGAAAGAGAACTGCTGAAACGTAAAGAGTAAGGATCAAAATAATAAATAAAATTAGCCCTTGCTTAACTGTTGCAGTGTTAGAACAACCCTAAGTGCTGAAGTCTGTACAACTATGCTTCACCATGCAAACATGGGTGAAGCCTGAATGATCATCAGCAGTTGGCTGGAGGGCATGTATCTGGAGCTCATCTTCTGGTTACACCTTATGCTAAAGAAAACCGGTTAATGATGTGCTGCATGAGTTCAGGAGGTCCGGTTTTGTGGGCTGCTTCACTGTGAACCAAAGCAGGAATGAAAGGAACTTTCAGAAGGCTAACTGAACTCACTAGTGTAGATGCACCCACAATTCCATGGCAGCAGTTTGGTGTATTAACAAGTTGTTTATGCTCTGTATTTTTCCCCTCTAAGATTGATTTATCTTTTTCCACCTTTAAGAAAACTTCTGGGCTTTCAAATAGTTGAATGACCTCCTAGATCAATTTTTAAAACATTGTAGTGGTATATTGGAGGTGGTAGAAGATATGCAAAGGTGAAGTAGAAGAGATTCAAACTAGCAAGCACAACACTTCAGCTTAACCACCCTGGTCCAGAAGTAGTAGAATTGGATGTGTTGGATAGTAATCTCTAATCCTGGGCCCAGATAAGGGCTGAGACCTGAGTTGCACCACATTTACATGTGTCAGAAAAGGATGGTTTTGCAACTCTAGCTGATGCCTATGCAGGGCAAGCTTGGATTTATCTACAGGTGGATACAAGAAATGAAACGGCCATACCTCATGTTGTCTTCTGACCATGACATTATTGTAATAACAAAAATAGAACAGCTGAGAACAGTTCGTGGCTCCACAGGAAATAATTACAAGATTTTACAGTATTAATTTTTGCTTAGGAGCAATCAAACATATTCTTTGTGTGATAATTCACAAGAAGATTTGAAAGTGTTTCTTTTTTGCAGTTCTTCCTTTGATCAATGGAAACTACTCACGAACAATAAAGAAAAAGTTGCCACTGGTGGCGTAAGTATCACCAACAGAAAAGCTTTGACATTAAGTTTTATAAAAAAGTATTGTTTTGCAGTTTTCTGTTTCTTTTTAAGGTTGCCTGAAATCTCATTACTGAATATAAAATGTATTTAAATACCTGCTGGAGCAGAGACTAGAAATTTTTCATGGTAATACTGCTGCAGTATTGGTTTATGTTAGAAGCACACTTTCTGCAGTCTCCATTTAAAAAAATCCTACCAGTTGCTCGGTAGAAGGAAAAGAACAAGTGAAACTGAATGTGGAGAAGGTCAAAACTTCCTGGGAAACTGTAGTTTACTTAAAATAAGAATGGGGTGGGAAAGGGAAGAAGATGGTAGAAATGGATGGTAGAAAAGAATCTGCAGAAGAGATAGAAGAGTTTGTGCTAAGTAGAGCTTATTTCCATCCTGTAATCAAATCAAAGAATCTGTCATTATTCTGTTCCTACCAGTTCTGCCTTCCAAGTTTCCTAGCTGAGTTTAGCCTCATTAGTGCTCATCTACACCAAGGATGAGAATTTTCTTCTGCTGAGACTAATTTCCTTGGCTCCAGGAGTCCAGAGTGGCAGTTCTAAGGTTTTTAGTTCCATTGATGAATAGAGTAAGATTTGCTTCATACAAACTGAATTGCATTCATTTGTTTGTTTGATCTGTTTTTGTTCATTAGTTTATTTTGTATAGAAGATAAGTTTGTATATGTGTGTTTGTTTGTATATAAGTTTGTTTTGCGTATATGATTTTTTAAGCCTGACGCTGGAAAGTGTCACAAGCAAGTTTGCCTAGGATATGTATCGTCAAAGAGCAGAGTGTAGTGGGAGAGAAAACCTTTTTATAGTAGGATTTTGTATACCTAAATTATCAGATTTAATTAAGAAATGGTTTAGATTTAATCTGAATTTAATGTATCCACTTCCCATTATGTAATATGTATTTGCCTTCAACAGTTATAATGACTTTTTTATATATATAATTTTATTTTTTTTTATATGTGTTCAGATGAAAATGTCAGTTGTTTTGAAGTACCTCCAAGCCTTCAACTGGCAATGGATGTGGCTAACCATAGCTGCTTATTTAGGACAAAACGCACTAGCTGTTGGACAAAATCTATGGCTTAGCACCTGGACTGCAGAAACAGCAAAAGTTAGTGATATCACAGAATGGAAACAATCTCAAAACTATAAACTTCATACCTATGGACTTCTGGGACTCATACAAGGCAAGGATGAGCATTTATGACTGTTTTCTCACCACTTGCCAAGTCTGATCTGCCTGAATGTGTATTAGCAAAGAAATAATGCTGGCTGTTTCATAAACAGAATTGTGTGCCACACAGTATAATAGTTCAGCCTGGGGAGAGGAGATGTACAGGCATGCTGAAGAAAATGGAATTTGAGTTTATGATACTTCTGTGAATTCTTGAAACATCCAATTGTAACCTAATGAAGTTACGTTGGCATCTCAGTGAGGAAGGAAAATAGCGTTGATGTGTGGCATGCTAACATGGGAGACTTACATGCAAGAAAAACGTACTTATGAAGTAGTAAGATGTATCAACAAACTACAAATATGTACATTTGTAAAACTAAGAAAGATATGAAATGTGACTGTTGAATTGCTCACTGTTGTAGGAAACTGTGACAGATACAAGCTCCATATGTTTCCTTCCCCAGCCATTCATACAGTCTTTTAATTCATCCATTCGTAAGGTCTTTTTGTTTGCTGCGGTGCCTATGTGGTCACCAGGGGATCCCTGTCTGCTTCTCGGTCATTGCATCATCAGCTGTTGGACAGTGTATTGCATCTCCCTCTTCAGCGTTTTGAAACTGATCCAGTTGGTCAGATCATCAATAGATTCACAAAGGTAAAAGGAAAACTCGTGTATTTTCCATTTTATGAAAATGAAGCTTGAGCAACTAATGGATTTAATTCCATTTAGTGTTGTTGAAAAATGACAGATACAAAAGCAAGTGAATTCAATATCTAGCAACAGAAAGTTATTTTAGTGCATAAAAACTTTAAGAACTGTCTCAAGCTACTTTCTTACAAAATCATGGAAACATGTTATTAGAAGTTGTATAGACCCTTTTCAAGATCATTAGGAGGTCATTCCTCAAAAACTATTCTTGCCATGCAGCAAGTTTACTAGACATAAACCTGATCTGTGTTTCAAAAAATTTGTATTTTTCTTTGATAGTATATTGCGTATCAGACCCAAATGTTTTTGTCAAATACAATTAATACATTACATTCACATTCTCAGAGGTATATAGACTTAAGGTGAATATTATTTTCTGTTTTTGTAGTGTTTTGGCTTTAGCTGGAACTGCTAATACATAAACAAGTGTTACTTACTGTGACCTTAATAGCTCCCACTCTCATCATAACTACATCATTGCAATGCACGAATGATCAGTTCAGATATAATGACTGTTGGTAGCTGTGTTTTCTAGAGTAGACCCAAGAGTGGTTGTATAATACACTAAAAGATCAGTTGATTTAGGTTCCACTCAGGACCCTGGTCTTTGGCAGTGGTATATTATAAACTGGGTTTGAAAAAGCTTTACTGTGTACAGTAAGAGATTAGTAATATTTCAATATAGTTCTAGAGTTATTAACAGGAGTATACAAGGGTTAGGATTTTAATTCCTGGCTTCCTTTTCAGTCTGATATGCTTTACGTAAGTATTGAGTCACAAAATAGCAAAAGCTGTCTCTTTCTGACTTGAATACTGAGCCTGTTCTCTGACATACCATGTGTAGTCTAAAAGCTATTATGTCTATTCCACTTTTAGAAAAATAGTAACAGTATATGAATACATTCTATTATGATATAATTGGAGGGACCCTACTAATTTTAATTGAAGATATTTTAGTTTGATTCCGTTTTTAAAGAATTCCTTCTCAAAGTTTTTAGTGGAATTTACTCACAAAGCTCTTGATTTTTCTGTGCATTTTTACAGGACTTATTTATAGTGGACTCACGTTTCCATTACTACTTACGAACTTGGCTAAATTGTACACTAGATGTTATTGGAACCATTCTGGTTATCACATCTGCCTCACCACTATTCATAGTGGTAGTTATTCCCCTGGGGTACTTCTATTTTACTATCCAGGTAACTGCATTAAGCTTTTACAAGGATTTCTGGATTTATGTGGGTGAAATATCCAAAGCAATCAAGGATACAGGCTTAAATTATTCCTTACTGTGAAAAAAAAAATCTCCAAATATATATGTGTGTGTGTGTGTGTGTGTATACAAAGAACACGTGAAATTGCTTTCAGAAAAAGTCCTCAGGCTCCTTAAAAGGAAATTGAATATATCCTGCAGTGCTTGTGAACTTTTAACAATTTTGTGCTTTCCTCTTTATTAGGAAGATACAATATTGATATAGATTCCACCAAGAAATTTGATGGTTACCTGAAAAAATGGGGTGTATGTTGTAGTGAATGTTTAAAGTTCAAGTAACTGTGAAACAGCAGACATGAAACAGAATGATGCTTAAACTACCTGTGCCATATTTTTTGTAGTGTGTCAGTTATACTACTGAGAAACCAAAAGTAAAGTTTTAGAAACACTAATTGCTGCATTTCTGTTTCTTGGTGCTAGAAGTATGGTCTGTGATTAAAGACCTTAAAAGATTCTCAAAATAAGAATATAGGGGAAGGAAAAGAGGACCTGGATTCAGTCTCTGCTAAGGAATTTACATTGATACGTTGAAGAAACAAAAGGTGACTTTCATCTGTGAAAGAAGTAGGACATTCTAATTTGAAATGTTATGGAGAAGTGTTAATTGTTACTTCTTGTGGTATAGCCCATTTTCTATAGAATTTGGAAATAATGTTTTCTTATTTAACCTTGCCACTAATTTATATATTTCAGTTATAGAAGCATGATGATGTTGGTGTGCCCCAAGAGACAGAGGGGTTTTTTTTTTATACTCTTTGCAAACAGCTTTTTTTCTGTGCAGGGACTTCCAACTTCATCATATTCAAAATTCACAGGAGTTACTAGACAGATAACTGGAAATAAATATAGCAAATATTTTAAATAATGTAAAATAAGCTGTAGCAACTTAAAATGTCTGTCTTGTCTGTTTTATACTGTTTTATTAGCGATACTACATAGCGAGTTCACGACAGATTCGACGGCTAGCAGGAGCGTCCCATTCTCCTGTGATTTCCCATTTCAGTGAGACTCTTGTAGGGCGATCAACAATTCGAGCATTTGGCCACCAAGAGAGATTCATTAGAAAAAATAATGATGTTGTGTATGAGAACTTGGTTTACTTCTACAACAACGTCATCTCGAACAGGTACTTTACAGGAGTTCTGCATCTGTGACTGAGACCACCTTCTGTAGAATTCCACAACTACCTTTAGTCAGGGAAAACCCACTGAGAAGGAGAAGAGCTATTTATCCAGCACTCTTTGTAATGAATGCATAGATTATGTATAAGCACTAGGATGATTTCTTCTTTATGTACCAAAGGTTTATAGAAAACATGCATATTCTGTTGAGAATATTAAAAAACATCTGATGAGAATACAGTAAAAGAGGGGGGAGAGGGGAAGAAAAATAAGTTTACCAATACATCGTAAGCATGGCCTGTATGACATTTCAGATTCGTCTTACAAGTTTATGAACAAAGCAAACTTGTATTTCAGTGATTCACATGGAAGAAACCTGAGAAGAACTCTCAAGAAGTCTTGAGAGGGGAATCTTTGGTTTAAGGAAAATAAATGCTTTTCCTCTCCTTCCTTTAGGATGCAGTCAGTTAGAGGCAGAGATGAGCAAGGATATTTCAGTTCTGGTTTTCAGTCATATACCTGAATCTTTTCCGGATAGGAAAAGCAGTATAAAGAGTGAAGGAAGCACTAGCCAGGAGCTGAGACCTGCATTTGGTTTTTAGCAGTGCTACCAGTTCTAGAATTATCCCCTGGCCACTGCATCTGTAAAATGGGAATGATGGCACTTACCTCTTTTGTTAGGGTAAATTGCTAACATACATAATGATCTCAAGTAGTCATTATATTAGCAATATGTTCACTATACTATAAAAAAATTTGTAGGTAATTCACTTTTTTCTTTGCCTTGATTTGCTAACAGGTGGCTATCTGTTAGGCTTGAATTTCTGGGAAATTTAATGGTGTTCTTTGCTGCACTGTTTGTAGTACTGGCTGGAAATACCATGAGTTCTTCTACAGTGGGTTTATCTATATCCTATGCTCTAAATGTAAGTAATAGTACAATTTTTTTGCTGCTCCCACATTGCTTATGAAGAGGAAATAATACATACAATGGAGCTGAGTAGGTGAATATACGCAGTAGCATCAATGACATTGAATCTCATGGGCAGAACAGAGTTTTCTTTTAAATTCCATTAATTCTGGGAAGCTTCACATTAGTTATTTTCCACTTCTCAATTTAGATGAAATAATAATAATAAAAATGTATTTAAAAATCAGTAGATATGGTTTATTTTTAAGTGTTTTGTTAATCTAAATCAGAAGCTTAGTCATGTACAATTATAGTTCATATTTGAGTCCTTGTTCTTGTTCACTTGTTGAATGTTATGCAGGATTGCTTCCTTAAAGGTTTAATAAAATCATTTACTTTAGCATTTTCCTTGTAAAAGTAATACATGAGAGCCACAGCTGAAATGTGTCTTGAAGTAAGGTAAACTGTACTGGTAAGTTGCTAGTTAAAATCAATCTTCAGTATTTCTCACTGTAGTAAGTAACTGCTTCAGAAACACAGCTGACAGGTACTCATGAACACACACAAAAATATAGACAATTACCTGTCATGGCATATCCACATCACCCCCAACTGGCAAGAGTTCCATTTTCTATTACTCAGAGAAAGAACAATCTCCTTTATATCAACATTTTTGTGGTGATGGTAGTCATAGGTACTGCACATTTTTTTACCTTCATCTGATGTCAAATTGACACCATTCTGTAGTTATATACAGCCTTTCAAAACAGTTGACTCTAAGAATTCATTTAGCTCACTGTTTTCCTATAGGAGTGGAAATATTTAACCACAGAATTGGCTCTGTCTGCAGAAGCATTTCCAGCTCTTGAAGATGAGAAATTTGGCAGACATGATAGAGCAAATACATATCTCCATTACAAATTCCTTGTTCTGTATTGCTAGCTTACTTTACCTAGGGAATAGTGCATTAATACCTGCAATATTAGCCATATATGATTTTCCTTTCAACATCATACTGAGCACTTTCTGTAGATCCTGAAATAGTTTCATATTTCTGGAGCTGTTATATTAGTGAAAATTACAATAGCCATCGGGCAGTCTGAAAGCAGACAAGAAGTGCCCAGAGGAATGCTGAGATCAGTAATTTTCTGACAGTTCATTTGGTGTGCCATCATTTTCTGTATACTTTTTGGCTTCTGTGATTAGGCATGCAGCTTATGAGATGATTAAATTCAGGGTAAGTTTTGAAATTTATATGCTGTATTGTGGTGGAGTCAAATGTTTATGTTCTATGATGCAACTATTTCCCCAGATAATTCAGAGTCTAAATTTTTGGGTGCGTAAAGCATGTGAAATCGAGACCAATGCAGTTTCAATTGAAAGAATTTGTGAATATGCAAAAATGGATAAAGAGGTAAGCATTCTTCTTGAAATGGAGAGGATTCTTCTTCAATATTTAATTTATGTGCTTAGAAAATTATCTAGATTGATTTTAATATTGGTGAGTGGCAATAGGTTATAATTTGTTCTTAAATACTTCCTCTTATTGTTTTATGCTGAGAATAATATGCAGCTTCTTCATTACATTTATAGTCATGCAGTTTTATTCTTACTTTGACCATAAAATTCTTCACATTCTTCTCAGAAGTAGATTTTGTAGTGAGACTAATGCACCTGAACTTTCTATGCTATGTGCGACCAAGAGGAGCATTTATTTAAGAGGGCATGAGAGGCCTGTCAGACCCCTAACTCTCCTCTTGTCTGAAGAGACATTTGCTTAAAACTGATTTGCCTTGGTTATTGTGCTTTTCTGAAACTAGTGCCCATGTCAGGCATGGAGGCAGAAGAGCCTTGGTCTGTCTCAGAAACAAGAATCTCTTTTACTTCTTCATTCTCTTTTACACTTCCCTCATGTTTATGTTTCCTGGTCTTTGTTCACATCTTTCTGTTGTCTCCTACTCCACTTCTTAGAACAAAACATATCTCATAAAATATGCTTTTAAATATCTGCAAGATTAGGTATCAGATTAAATTCAGTTCCTGTCAACTGATGGAACAAAATTACCAAACTATTAGCAACTACTCAGTTAAACTGAGTTCACTTTTTTAAATGAGTGTATACATGTTAAAAACCCCCCAACCCAAACCCAAAACCCCTAAAAAACCCAGCTGGAATGTTTCTGCCCAGTGGTCGTGAAAGCAGGTTCTCCTTCCCTTATATTGCATTGGAATTATCATAAACCTTCTGGGACTTTTAATAATTTTCCTAATGTTTTTATTAATTTGTAACACCTTTAGAATCATATACTGAAATACCAATGGTTGTAATTTCAGGGACCGTGGATAACATCAAAAAGACCACCAGTGGGGTGGCCTGATAGAGGAATAATAGAGTTTGTTAACTACAAGGCTCAGTACAGGAAGGATCTTGGTTTAGCCTTGAAGGATGTCTCTTTTCAGACACAGAGTAAAGAGAAGGTACTGTATATAACAGATAAATAAGAGGTATAAAATTCTGTTTTCCAACTTTCTAATTTGAAAAGATTTAATAGGAGGACACTCTATTACTAGACACAGCAAGATGAAGTTGAACAGCAAAGATACTAAGTGGATAAGACATTAAAGAAAAGACAGATGAGAAAACTACTTTCTCCTACTATGCAGAAATAAGAAATACTTTTCCTTGAAAGAAACTGGAATAATGTTTTATGAATTTAGCAGTTTTAAGGAAGATACACATTTGAAATTAAATCTCTTGGCTACTGTGATGAATACTTATGTAGAGAAATATGTTTCCAGATCAGTGCTAATTAACTTTGGGTTTGGGCTCAAGGAGCACTAACCGAGACTTAGTTTAGAATCCTTGGTTTGAGCTGAGTGCTAGAGAAAAGGGAGGGGAAATGGCAAGAATTCCCACTGAACCAGGCAAAGTCTGTGCAGCTTCTGAGGGAGTGTTCTTGATTGTGAGTCAAGTTCCAAAGTGAGTTTTAAAGTTGTATCAACCTATAGGATTGCGTGTTGGTGAAACAAACTGAAGTTTTGAAATGAAAGTTGAAACTGAATTCTCTCATCATTTTTCATATAGGATGTGTCACATGGAAAGTTACAGTCTTTATCAGGAAGCTTTCTGTTTCAGGTTGGAATTGTTGGAAGAACAGGAGCTGGTAAATCAACACTCACAAATTGCTTGTTTAGGGTTCTAGAGGGATCTGAAGGCAAAATAATTATCGATGGAATTGATATATCAACTATTGGACTCCATGACCTACGTGGAAATCTTAACATTATTCCACAGGTGAGATGTATTTTAGAGGGAATTTTTTTTTTTAATAACACAGGACACTTTATTTTGGGGGAAGAAATTATACCCCCGAATTCCAAGAGACAGGCTGCCAAGAGACAGAGGCATAAAACTCCAGTAGAAATTTATTGATCTTTGAAACCAGGCTCTGTTATGGCCTATTGGGTTTTAGAATTGAATTTTTGAGAATCTCAGCTATTGATTAGCCAGTAATCTTCAGTACTGCTGGCAGAATGCTGTCCTGGAAAACGTCACAACTGCATGTTGGCAGTTACATGGAAGAAGCTTCAAAACAAAGTGACCACATAGTTTTTATAATGCCAGTTTTAGTTTAACAGGCTTAGCTAGAATAGCTCATGCTACATATGGTATTTGCAAGTCCCACCTGAAGGCAAAAATATTTAAAATAACTCTAATTATGTCTGAAGACTGTAGGGAGTAAAGTCATGTATACACAAATTGTGTAATATGTATTTTGGCTAATCTGCTACAGTCTATCATGTAAAGCCATCCTTGCTTACTTCAGAACAGGGCAGGAAACTCAAGATCAGTTCACATATCATTAGGATTGTGTTTGTGCTGGTAGACTGACTTACACTGAAATGCTCTAGGAGAAAGTAAAACCTTGAACACAAATTTAGTGGTCACCTGAAGACCTTCTGCATGTTCCTTGAATGCCATTCATAAACCCATTTTTGTGCATGGGTGATGTTAACATCACTTACAAGAAATTTATCTGATGTGTTTCCAAAGGAAGGTCTGTTTTTTTTCCTAGCTTTTCTGGAGCTTTAACCCTGGTAATATTTGCTGTCTGTCTTTAGCATAGACTGTGCTAATTTTTAAACAAAAAAAGTTTGGGTCTTTCGAAAAATGAGCTGAATAGAAAAAACATGCATATATTCCTTCAAATCCTTGTCTGCTTTTCCATATTTGTCCCAGTTTGCTATGTTAATGTAAGGACTTTTGGCAGGCTGTTTTAAATTTGTGCAGGAATTGTGCACTTACATTCTGCTATTATTTAGGACCCCATCTTGTTTTCTGGGACACTGCAGTCAAATTTGGATCCACTTGGAAAACACTCTGATCTTGAACTGTGGGAGGTACTGGAACTGTGTCACTTAAAGGATTTTGTCCAGTCACTCCCAAAGAAACTCCTTCATGAGATTTCAGAAGGTGGTGAAAATCTCAGGTACATAAACAAGAAAGTGCTATTGGAGTTATTTTCTTCTACTGTAAATCTGTGTTCCTTGCAGAGAATTTCCTTCAGGAAGTATCAGTGTAATGACACTTCTCCTGTCCTTCTAAGTAGAATTTTTTTGGTAGTATGTGTTTCTTTGAGGTGGCCAACTGTTCACAACTGTATAAAGACCTCTGACCTGTGCTGTATGGGAAGCCAAGCAAGTAGACTATTTTCAGCTCAAGTATACGAATAGGTGTAAAGGAGTGTGTGGGAGGGTGGCAATTCATGCACTTTCTAATTAGAGCAGGATAGAAAAGTGCTCATATATTCCTACTTAAAAAAAAAAAAAAGAAAACAATAAAGCACTGAACATGGAAAGAAGACAAAACTGCAGAGAGCTTAGGCCTTTGCTTTACTTGCTCAGGCAAAGCACCCGATTTTTTTCCTTGTAGAACATTAGCCCATAGTTATGCAAGGAGTGTGACACTTGAAATAAAAGGGCTCAAAGCTCAAGGAGACAAATGCTGAAGCTTTTTGTTTTGCTGCTAAGGGGCAAGTCTTAGATGGAGCTTTCTGAATATCAACTTGAATTTTTTTGGAAGATCATTTTCAGGAGGAAGTTTCTAGAAGGCAGACACCACAGCTAACATATAGGAGTATCCAAACTTTTGCACTGTGTTATTAAAAAGTGGTCTAGTCCTCCATCATCTGGTTTATTCCCATTATAATGTGAATGTGGAAATTGAAGGCAAGACTAGGTTTATGCTCTAAAGTTCAGCCACAGGTGTTTAAGGGTCACAACTATAATTGGTATGCCGAGCAAGAAGAAATGAAAACTCCCAGAACAAGGTGAATATATTTCACTAGTCTTGTCAGAAGTACAAAACATTGTTAAGCAAGATAGGGGAGAATATCAGCTTTATATTGTTCTCTAATTCCTAACCTGATCTTTTCGCATGGATTTTTAACAGTGTTGGGCAGAGACAGCTAGTCTGCCTGGCCCGTGCTTTGCTACGAAAGACAAAAATCCTGGTCCTAGATGAGGCAACAGCTTCTGTTGACATGGAAACGGACAACTTGGTGCAGTCCACCATCAAAAGAGAGTTTCACAATTGCACAATATTAACTATAGCCCATAGGTTACACACAGTCATGGATTTGGAGAGGTGAGTAAGTTTTGGTAAGCCATTTTAAAAATAAATGGCTTCCTGAAAGTGTAACTGTTTTCAGACTACTAAAGTTTACACTCCAACATTTTTTACCTTATTGTCTTTGTATCTGTACAATCCAAGGTATCCCAAAAGTCTTGAGCATCAGTATTAACTAAATACCAGTACGTATGTCCCCCTTCTAATTACAAAGTTAGTATCTTTACTGCTAAGGTACAGGCATAAACTACTGTTAAGACCACTTAGTTGTATAGAGTGTGTATGAACTACAGCACTTCTACCAATTAAGCAAAAATGCCACTTTCAAAAGTTTTTGTTTGTTTTCTTTAATATAGGAGTTCCTAGCTTTAGAAACCAATGAATTACCTAGGGCAATGGTAATTCTTCTAAGAGTTCCCATTATCCAGAGATATCTGTATTTGGATTGTAAAATATAGTTGAAGAGCTGATTTTTCTTCTCCTGTAATCTTTCTGGTTTTGCATTGTAGAGTGCTTGTTCTGGACACTGGAAGGATTCTAGAATATGATACACCACATAATTTGTTACAACAGAAAGGTGCCTTTTCTGAAATGGTTGCAGAGGCTGGGATAAGAAGATAAAGAAAACTAAGGAATTAATACTCAATGAAGACAAGAATTCCTTACTCCAGTAAACACTGGAGGGGTATCTGGCATTCCACATATCTATGGAGTATTTTATATTCCATTTGAAATGACTAGCTTGCTCAAAAGCTCCTCACAGCATTGCTTTTTACTACAACTACAATCTGTATATATTGGTCAGGTTTCTTAAAATCTTTTCTGATTTTATGCAAATCATTTAATTTGATCATATTGGCACTGGAACAACAGAATGAAGCAGTAATTTCCATGGCATATTTTAACTGTTGCGCTAGTAAATGCAAACTGAAAAATAAATCTTGTTGTTCACACACTGTTTTTAATTAAAAATAATATTTCGTTAAGTTGCTCTGACATTGTGCCCATTTACTTCTTAATTATGATTGCAAATTCATTAAGACCCCGAGACTGTGTATTCTGTGGATATATAGGCAGATGTCACTTGGTGCTGATTTTTAGAACATGCATATTTGCATATGTACTTGGGTAATTCTTGAGGCAATAAACTTGCCACATTGGATTAGATTAACTTGCTTTTTGACCTTATGATTTCTGAATAACTGCAAAAATATTCCATATAACTGAAACCCACATCTACCGTATCTGAGCATTACAGTATCACATTGTGACACGGAAAAATTGTGTCAGGTGCAGCTATCTCCTTGCTAGTAGGTTTTACGCAAACCTCAGTACTAATTCAGCAGCAGAACAGGTTATGTACATGTACTAAAAGTGTCAGGTGAACATGCCTGTGCTTCTCTAGGCCACGTAAGTATTAATTATCATTTTTATTACAGTCCTTGTAACTCTTCAAATTTAATACCTACTGAATCACTGCAGCCTTAGCTTAAGATCCCCAGCCACTGCTTTAAAAAAAATAGAAAAAATCCACAAGGTACATGAATATAGTTTAGGCTCCAGCCCTGTTACATTACTTTAATCTTGACACCTGGTTACTATCTAGTAGGATCTTAATTTTTTTGCCTGATAGCAAGCAAGCCATATCTGCTGTTTTAGAAAGGTGGTGAGAAGCAATGGGGGCTCTCTGAAGAAAGTTCCTCAAAGATGTGATTCTACTACAGTGAAGGTAAGTGATTCTCTATCCTCTTCTGAAGGTAAAAAAGAAAACCTGTCTTCCTACGTTACACAGTACCATCATCACAGAATACTATTGGCTGCAAAACACAACTAAATATACTATCACTTACACAAAACAAAATGATTTTAGATTAGGAACAACCCTGCCCAAGTAACTATTACCTTCAGAAAGTCCTGGAGAGACTAGTGTGAGAGACTCTCTTCTTCTTTTCCCCAAGTGAGGCCATCAGTACCTTCAGAGCACGCACCTTGCCTCCTGCTGTCTCCTCCAAACAGCAGTTCTGCATTTTGAGTTAAGGTTCCAGTTTCATCCTGTGGGGCTATTCACAGACACCTACCACCTGTGACTGCTCCGTATGGGCCAGTAACTGCCAAGATCCCTGAGGAGGTGCTTGGGCTGTGCTCAGAGGGCCTCTGACAGGGCAGGAGAGCTTCATTTGGCTGGAGATAATACAAGGGACACAACTGTTCATCCCTTTGAGGAGCTACTGGTTGGCCTCCTTTTTCACGCAGGTTGCTTGGGTTAGGGAAAGGAAGAGTGGGGCAGCCAGAGTGTCAAGGGCAGAGTCTAACAATGAGGCTTAGGACACCCTGACTCTTCACAGGAAGAAGCGTGAAGCAGATCCTGCTCATGCTCTGCTTCAACTTTCTCCCCACAGCGTTCAAAAATAACACAGGCAGCACCTTTTCAGGTGTTCCTTCCCTCGGCCCTGCTTCTAGCCTTTGCTCTTCACTTTCCTGGCAGTATCACAGGAGAAACTGGACAGCTGAGGGGAAACCCTTTTTTCCCTGCCGGAATACACGCGTTTCCGCATTTTGCAGCCATAGTTGATGTCCTTGTACTAACCTGCTCTTTTCTTCTCAGTTCTGTTCCCCCACCCCAAACCGCAGCTTGAGGAGAAAGGGTTTTCCCTTCATACCCCAGTTCCTCCCAGCTGTGTGTGCCATGTCCCAGGGAAGATCTGTCACTCCAGCAACGCCTTGATAACCTGAGGGATTATGACCTCATTCTCTACCAGTGCTGTTACAGAAACTGAAACAAAGATACAGCCAAGGGACAGAAACTGCTTTTATTAAAAACATTCTAAAAGGTTATTTATAAAATGCATTTCATCATCTGCATTGGAACATACTATTGGTTAGGCATCTTGGACTTCCGTAATTCCAACTTGCAAAAAAAGCTTTAGCTATATAAATTTGTTGCATACCTACCACCACAGGCAACCATACTCAGATTTTGAGGATTGTGGAAAGATTTCAGCCTTCAAATATCAGTTTCTTTAAAGAGAGAGGCTAAGCAGTACACTTGCATACCTGGAAACAGCCACTTACTAGAGTGGAGTCACCTTTAAAATTCAGTGTGCCAAAGTAGAGTATTAAACCCAAAAGCTACAAAATAAATAACTTGACTGCAGGGTTCAGGAAAGTTATTTAATAAATAAAGATGCATTGTGAGAGACCCAATGTCCAGTAACTTCTCTATTAAAAAACCCCGACATTTGTACAGAAATCTGAATAAACACCCTTTTGTGAATTTGATTTTTTTAACAAGTAAACAACTTGCCCTTCCCTTCTGACTCCCGAATCAACACTGAAAGGGATTTAACTCCTCCAGACTGAAGGAGCGTGTGAAAGAAAAAAATCCCCCACTTCATTTATTTGCACTGAGTGTAACAGTTTAAAAAGTTTCTCCCGCTCCTACCTCCCTTGTCCCAGAATTGCAGAAAGATTTTAATAATTTCACTGTGATGTGCGGCTGTTTTTACACAGGTCTGCTCATTTTACACAGTGCATTCAAAAAAAATGAAGACTGAAGGCCTACTGTAACTCCAGTAGACTTTGGGATGAATTTACAGCAGAGCAAAAGGCCACAGGGATTCCAAAGACACTGGAATATGTGTTGAATCCAACACACACATTTGTATCTGCAAAACAAAGGCCCCAAATAGCAACTGCTTACGAGAACCATATTGTATATTGCCATTCATCCAGGATTTCACTGAAGAGGCACTTCTTTCACTGAAGGAGTTTTAGATACTGGAGGTTCCATACAGACGTAGACAGGGTCGCTTTGAAAGAGGTGCAAAGGAAAAAAATCCTCAAATGAGAAAAAAAAATAAAAAATCACTGTGGTTTCAACTCAGGGAAATGAAAACGGATGTTAGCAGCATTTTGGGAACCCTCTGTGAAGTGAAACAATGCTGATGGAATGGTTGTGTGCAACTGTGATTCAATTTTAGAGGTTTTTAATTAGATTACTTCAAAGACATGTTTAGATAATACCTATGCAAACAGCTGAATTGGCACATTTGATTTATGGCAGTGAGATAAATAAGGCCTGCTGCCAGGAGAATAACAAACCTATTTTAATATAGTTATATGTTAAACAATAAATCTAAGCCCCGCACTTTATCTTGGCAAGTTTAATACAAAAAAAAATTATTCTGCAGACTACAAGATGTTTAGAACCACCTGTTTACTAGAGCTTTCCTGATGAAGTCTGGGTTCGTTTCTAAGCTGAATGATGTGTTTCCATTGTAAAAACTTCTACACAGACAGAATAATTCAACTGGCCATTAAGTATTGATTTAACCCTCCAAAGAAAACTGCCACCGTTTTTTTGTTTTTCAGATCATTATTTTCTTCTCATGCATCTGCTAGATAGCTGGTAGCAAACCATTTACCTAAAATGAAGTCCTAAAAAGCGCTACCTCAAATCCCAAATTACACACCTTGCTTCCTTCCCAAAAGAACAGCTGCAGTCTCTGATCTATGTTCAGAGTAGAGTGGGATTCGAAAACACTTTAAACCAGAGATAAAAGCTATAAAGTGTGAAATAGTTGGGTGAATTGTCATTTACTAGGACTACAGGAACTAGACTTCATCAGACAATCCATCACTTCTGCCCCACACCCGCTCCCCAAGGACCGTACAGCTTGGGGTACTCCAGGGGAAAGATGTCAAGCGCTTGTAGATGTGCAACAATGAAATTTGTGTTGGTCAAATTCAAGGGCAGATACTCAGCTGTGGCTTTAATATACATAAAATTACTGCAGTTTTCAAATCGGGCAGGGGGAGGTATATGTAGCTGGCAATACGCCCTTGTTCTCTGGGGAGAACATCAGTGGTACAACAGTAGAACCAGTATGACAATCATCAAAACCAGATCTAAAGTAAGCCCTTGCTTACGCTACAGTAGCAAGGGCACAGGTTTTAATACAGTTTGGCTGAAACATGAGATAATTTGCCATACAGCCTCAGCAATACCATTACGCTGTTATGAACAGCAGAAGAATCAAGTGAATGCCTAAGTTTCATTCAAGCTGCAACATGCCTTTTAGAAAGGTGCTTAAAAGCTCAAATGACTCAATTTAATAAATAAATTTAAGCTGAACACTGCTAGTGCTGTGTGCATTAACACTGCTTCACATTCTTTCAAAGTAAATATATTGGACCTGGGAATACCTACAGTACCATAACCACGCTATCTGTCACCTTGGCCACACTCCCTTTTTATTTTAAACATACACCTCTACAGGACTTGCTAAGAAAATTTAGCAATAAAACATATGTGTGTCACCATTGGCGTTTTCATTTCATCCAATATCCAATCTACAGACAGACAGAACACATTAGAACTTCAGAAACCAGTCGTACCTTTAAAATAACATCTAGCTTTAACACAGTTTGGTGTTCAGGGACACCTAACTGCAACAGATAAAAACTGATACAATACGGCTAAGATTAGGCTCCATCACCAGTCAGATAAGTAGGCACCATCAGGGTACCCTTTTGGAAAAGTGGGATGCAATAAGGCAAGAGTTTCTTTTCAGTTAAAATTAGTCTTCCGTAAATGCTTATTAGGAATTTCTATAGCGCTGACTTGAAGAGGCCAGGACCCGCCAACAATTCCTGCTTGGATAGCTACTCCCGTTACAACTGCTAGGTCAGGATCTACAGAGGTGTTAGGCTCCTTTCCAAAGAAATCCTGAATAACTTTGCGTATCTGAGGTATCCGGGTGGAGCCTCCCACTAACACAATTTCATCCACTTCTGCTTTCTGGAGGTGGCCGTCCTTCAACACTTGTTCAATGGGCACAAGAATCTTCTCGAAGAGGTCCTCATTTAATGTCTCAAACAGCTTCCTAGAGATTTCTGTTTCAAACACAACTTTCATAAAGTTGTTCTCTACTTTTGAGGTGTCTCCAGGATTTTTCAGGTCTCCTGTTTTTTGTGAAGGCTCGCC